CCCCCCCCTCGCGGAGAATGGACGCGTTTTTTTGGGGGTTCCCAAAGCGGAGCATTTTCCTTTTCCGGGCAAGGTGCCATGGACTTCGTTTTAGAGCGGATCCGATTTCACACCCTGGACTTGGAGAGAGAGAGGCAGCCTTGCCTCGACGAACTTCCCCTCTCAGAGCCTTCTTTCTGGGACCAGTTTGAGATTCACCTAACAGTAGATGGATTCCCGGAAAGAGCGGTCTTCCTTTTGTCAGCCAACCCCAAACGAGTGGAAAGCCAACGGAAATCAGTTGGAGACGCTGCTCTTTGTTTCGTTAGCGCTGGGCCTGCCTCAGCGCTGTGCCGCCGTCCAGATCGGCCGGTCACGTGTTCTCTCTTGTCTCTTACGTGAGACCTGACTGGGCGGGTGCGCTGGAAGATGTTCCTCTAGAACCAGAAGTTGGGACACTGCGCGGGGGACTAGGCTGTAGATCGACTCGTGACTAGAATCTGTCGCTGCTGATTCAAGCCTGAAAAAAAAGGTACCTGCTGGCACAAGGGTAGTGCAAGGCGAAATGATTGCACACCATTCTCCCATGATTTGGATTACAGAACCCACAACTAGTTGTTTGGCCCCTTTCAGACATTCATGCTGCATGAGCTCAACCACCAAGAGCCGAACAAAACACAGATTTTTTTCCCGAAAGCATCGCGAAGGGTTCTTCCGTGCGGAGCCCTTGGACAAGTTACATAGAGCCAAGTTACATAGAGCCAAGTTACATAGAGCCAAGTTACATAGAGCCAAGTTAGAGCCAAGTTACATAGAGCCAAGTTACATAGAGCCAAGTTACATAGAGCCAAGTTACATAGAGCCAAGTTACATAGAGCCAAGTTACGTAGAGCCAAGTTTCATAGAGCCAAGTTACATAGAGCCAAGTTACATAGAGCCAAGTTACATAGAGCCAAGTTACATAGAGCCAAGTTACATAGAGCCAAGTTACATAGAGCCAAGTTACATAGAGCCAAGTTACATAGAGCCAAGTTACATAGAGCCAAGATACATAGAGCCAAGATACATAGAGCCAAGTTACATAGAGCCAAGTTACATAGAGCCAAGTTACATAGAGCCAAGTTACATAGAGCCAAGTTACATAGAGCCAAGTTACATAGAGCCAAGTTACATAGAGCCAAGTTACATAGAGCCAAGTTACATAGAGCCAAGTTACATAGAACCAAGTTACATAGAGCCAAGTTACATAGAGCCAAGTTACATAGAGCCAAGTTACATAGAGCCAAGTTACATAGAGCCAAGTTACATAGAGCCAAGTTACATAGAGCCAAGTTACATAGAGCCAAGTTACATAGAGCCAAGTTACATAGAGCCAAGTTACATAGAGCCAAGTTACATAGAGCCAAGTTACATAGAGCCAAGTTACATAGAGCCAAGTTACATAGAGCCAAGTTACATAGAGCCAAGTTACATAGAGCCAAGTTACATAGAGCCAAGTTACATAGAGCCAAGTTACATAGAGCCAAGTTACATAGAGCCAAGTTACATAGAGCCAAGGTTAGGTAGAGCTTAGAGCTTCGGCGTTAGCAGCTATGTAAGTTAGTTTAGGTTTCTAAGGCGCCGGGGCGGGAGTTTGATCGTCGCTCGGGATTGCGACCCTCTGCGGAGATTCGCGTGGTCGAGGTTCAAAAACTGAGGACTTTTTACGATTTCTGCTGGCCGCGCGCGACCCTGCGGAGATTCGCGTGGTCGAGGTTCAAAAACTGAGGACTTTTTACGATTTCTGCTGGCCGCGCGCGACCCTCTGCGGAGATTCGCGTGGTCGAGGTTCAAAAACTGAGGACTTTTTACGATTTCTGCTGGCCGCGCGCAACCCTCTGCGGAGTTTCGCGTGGTCGAGGTTCAAAAACTGAGGACTTTTTACGATCTGCGGAGATTCGCGTGGTCGAGGTTCAAAAACTGAGGACTTTTTACGATTTCTGCGGTGCGCGCGCGACCCTCTGCGGAGATCGTGCGCGTCGAAGCGCTCTTGCTGTGGCGCCGTGCGAATTTGTTTTAGCCTCGGCGAACCCTCTGCGGAGATTGTGCGTGTCGAAGCGCTCTCGCTGTGGCGCCGCGCGATATTCTTGCTCGCGAAACGGCCTTTGGAAGTCGTCTCGTGGTTTGCGCGCCTGCTTTCGCAATCCCGCGGTCGCGGGTTCGATTCCCCCCTGGTCCGCGGCAGCTCCGGCTTGAAAATCGCAGCTTTTAAGTACAAACGTAGTACGCGGAGCGTGCTCCTGCAGCTCCGGCTGGAAAATCGTAACTTTTAAGTACAGACGTAGTGTGCGGAGCATGCTCCCGCAGCTCAGGCTGGAAAATCGCAACTTTTAGGTGCAAACGTAGTACGCGGAGCACTCCCCCGCAGCTCCGGCTTGAAAATCGCAACTTTTAAGTACAAACGTAGTACGCGGGGCGCTCCGGCAGCACTTGCGCAGAGCAACTTGTGCAGAGTCACTTGCGCAGAGCAACTTGCGCTCTGCGAATTGCACAGAGCACTTGCACACAGCACTTGCGCAGAGCAACTTGCGCAGACCAACTTGCACAGAGCACATGCGCAAAGCGCTCGCACGGAGCAACTGGCGCAGAGCACTTGCGCAGAGCAACTTGCGCAGAGCCAAGTTACATAGAGCCAAGTGACATAGAGCCAAGTTACTAAGAGCCAAGTTACCATAGAGCCAAGTTACCATAGAGCCAAGTTACCATAGAGCCAAGTTACATAGAGCCAAGTTGCACAGAGCCAAGTTGCACAGAGCCAACTTGCACAGAGCCAAGTTACATAGAGCCAAGTGACATAGAGCCAAATTACCATAGAGCCAAGTTACATAGAGCCAAGTTGCCATAGAGCCAAGTGGCACAAAGCCAAGTTACACAGAGCCAAGTTGCACAGTGCCAAGTTGCATAGAGCCAAGTTACATAGAGCCAAGTTGCACGAGCCTGCTTTGCAGAAGCTGTTGCATCGATGTAAAAGGGCGTGTCCGCGGCTGGAAATGCACATGATGGGAAGCGCTTGGGGAAAAATGCTTTCGGGCCAATCGTCCTCTAGTTTTCCCAAGAGCCCGAACAAGATTCTTCCGGACTCCGGACCTGAAAGCTTTCGGAAGATTTGCCCAGAGACATCGACCGACTCGAGCTCTCCAAGCCCCGGGGTTCCAAATGGCCTTCCACTCTTGGTTGTCGTCCATCATCGCCGCTGCCCTCGGTTGCCGGATGCTAGGGCTTGTGGCATAGGTCCCATGGTCGATGCCTCCCAAGTTGAAAAGGCTAGCCTGCAACAGGCATATGCCCGTCCTCATGCTTCCCCTAGTGGCCCTTGTCCAAGGGAAGTCTGCCATGTTCGTTGTCACCGAAGCATTCTGGGGTTGCAGGAACCGAGACTGGCCTCCAAGTGCCAAAATCGCGCTCATATTGAATGGAGTCTCTGCCAAAAAACAGGTCGAAGAATTGGTGGTGGTTGTCATATCCCCAACATGGGTCCTGGTAACTGAAACCAAGGACAAACGGTGTCTTCTTTTACCCATACCTTTCTTTTTTATGTGTCTTCCAACATAGGATGCGATTCTTTTGATCCATGGCCGTTCCCCTGACCAAACAGAAAGTGGACGTGAACGTGGCCAGGTGGTCCGGTGGTCGGTGAGGTTGACTCAGCAAGACTAACCTGAGCATCACTTGCCAACGAACGACCTTGCCAAGAGTGGCCTTCCTTTTTGAGGCTAGTCTTTTGGGGCGTGGTTTTAATCAGTCACCCAAAATCTTCTTGGGCTTGCATCTTGGGTCCCGGACCACCAGACCAAAAACATCGTTGGGGTTCGGGTAACCACAACAAGTTTGGATGCTCCCAACTGAAATTCACAGGCATGGTGTCTATTTCGAGTGTACACTTTTTGAAGTTGGCTTACAGGGAAACTACAAGGAAACCGTTGCCTGTTCTTTTGGGGGTGGCCTTGCGGACCGCTTTCACAGGTACATAAACCACCCATTGGAACCCCAGGGACTTCCACATACTTAAACTCCATCCAACATTAGCACTTTTCGGAATCACCAAGAAAGACTCTCAACCACAAATTTCCTACGGGATGAAGACACCGGTGACTCCCCCCGCCCCCCCCTCCCCCCCCCGCTGCCCCGCCCCACCCCGCCCCGCCTCCAGCCGCGGTCCTCCGAGTCCCGCAGCGTCCGCGGCAGCAGGCGGTGGAAGCCGTGCTCCGCGCAGAGGCCCAGGCCCTCCACCGTGCTGAACCAGGACTGGCACACGTCACCGGATGACGCGCCGGATCGGCCCACGTTGTTCTTTTTTGGAGCCCCAAAATGGTGGGTCAAAATTCCCCTAATTCCGGTTAGGCCCCAGGGAAGATCCCAATCCGAGCACTAAAAGTGCACCTACACCAACATGGTACCATTGGTTTTGACCCACAGCCAATGGGATTCCGGGTGAAAGGTTTGCAGCTTGCCACTGCAAAAACGGTACCGCCCTCAAAAAACAAGACGCAGCCATACATTGAGAACCCGGGCTTGAACTTTGAGACAAAAGAACGCTTGCTCTGTGTCAGAACTGAAAGAAGCTGCCTCCTTAGATTGTGAGCGGAAACCCAGAAGTTTGTTGCCACCGAAAGTAGCTGCCCCTGATCTTGAGACATACCCAGGTGCCATGGTCACAAAACCAAGTTGTGAGTCAGGAAGCCTGCAATCAACAATAAGACAAGCACTTTCAAGTGCCTCATACTTGGTTAATCAGCCAAAACGCAAGACCCTGACACCCGTTTATGGGTTCTCCGCGACATACACATATATAGCATAGATAATTGTTTGTGTGTGTGCGCGTCGGTATCCACGTTGGAGGTCCTCTGAAAAGACACCAGTTTCAGGATTTCGGGGTATGGCACTGGCACAAAGCAAGCTCCCCTTCCGCAAGCCAGGGAGCCGGCTTGAAACAAAAAGGTGCAGGGGTTGCCACACGCATCGCGTCCGAAATCGGAGCCCAACCCAGGAAGCAGATCTACCGGGTTTCATTGGACCCCCGCCTCCATGGTATCTTTGGTGCGGCCACTCAGGATCTGGGCGAGCAAAACACAAATTGTTGGCTGTGGCTTCAATCGGAAACCGGCCTTCAAAAAAATGTCCAGAAAGGCGATGGGTTCATATATGGCCATGGGTCAAAATCCAAATCGTACCTCCAGTGAACATCCCAATCCCCACTAAAATAGACTAAGATGGGTGGTGCACATGGGTTTTGACCCACAGCCATATATATATATATATATGTGTCTGCCAATTTCATGCAATTCCAACACCTGAACTAAGGAACCCAAGTTAAATGCTCACATCATGGTGAGCTCACCAGAAGATAGGCAAACTGGATCGTACTTGGTTGTTGGGTTGCGAATAAACTGGGGTTTTCGCCTTCTTTTTTTTTAACATGCGCTTTTTGTTGGGTGCGACACGTAGAAACCACATAACAGTCATGAGCCATGGTCAAAATTGCTTCCCCCAGACTAGGGAAAATCCGCCACCGGGCTGTGGGCAAGTTCGTGAGCTCCCTCGTGTTTCTTTTGAATGGACTTTTGTTTAGCGGCAAGCCTTGAACAGGGCATTTTCAGCTATGGATTTTTGAGGTATGGAGGTTATACACTACTTATAGATTGCTCAGTTTGGTGGTTTACAAGCATCCACAGATGCAAAACCCACCTGGGAATGCCCTTAATGCAAGGCAGGGGTCAAGCAAACAGCGACATGTTGAATCGGATCTATGTTTGTTCAGCAAAGTCGCGGCGGCTGGCATATTCACGACGTTTGGTAGTAAGTGGCGGCTCAAATCGACTTCTTTTGCAAAGCCAGACAAGTTGTGATTCATGAATTGAGGGACATGTCAAATGAACACCATGAACTGGCTTCACTGTTTGTGAACAGCGGAGCAGCACAAAGGCGGGGGGGGGGGGGGTATCATCAAATAAATCACATGCCAAACCCATCTTGACTGTTTCAAGCTTGGCTTACCAGTGAGTTGGATCAACATAGGGACTTAAAGAGAGCTTGACAGCAGGGTCCGTGAAGTCAACATGTTGTGTTCTCAAAGTCACTTTTGGAAGGGTTAACTTACTCGTTCCAAATAGACAATCCAATCCAATGTTTCAATAATGCGGCAATAAAGCGATTGTGAAGCAGCCCAGGTCAGTCACCATCTAGGTCCTCCGGTAGAGAGGTTAGAATCCATTTTTTCTTCTTCTTCTTCTTTTTTTTTTTTTAATGTAGTCTATTTTAGTAGGGGAAGCCTCCCCCAAAACGGGTAAACGCCTAGCCATCTATAGAGGGCTTGCTTTCGGAGCAACCCACTTTGCCGAAGCATGGCAAAACAAATTGGTCCCCACAGGCCATCGCTCGCGCCGAATCTGAGCAGGTCGTTTTGTCACGTGTTTGGCACCATGGCATCCCTCAAAGAGTCCGGATCAAGCCGTCATGGGAGATTTCCTATTGCCAAGTGGACTCCCCAGTAAAGCAGGGACATTTGGCTGTGGCTCAAATAAATGTACCAAAATGGAGCCTTGGTAAACGGCACCAAAGCGACCAAAGACTAAAACCGTGTAACCCTAGCTATTGAATTTTGAGCCACAGCCATTTGGGTAACATCACTCCTGGTACTTCCGGAAACTCGCGATACAAGACTACCGCTACCCCGAGGCTTCCTTGAAAAATCCCCAAAGTGGGCGAACGAACCCCTGGTCATTTGCATGTTCCGTTCATATCTCCCCTTCTCACCATTACCCTTTTTCTTACCAGGTGCCCAATTCAAAGTCCCAGTTGCGGGCCAATTCATCATGGTGCAAGATCCCTGAAGCGGTGGGGAGACCTGGTAGCCCATCTTTCCGCTCCGACCGAAGCCGACCTCCTCCAGGGGGCTCCAAAAAACTCCCGCCACTGTTGGTACTTGGTTATGGGAAAAGAGGAACCGAAGAACCGACTCGCAACCTCGGGTGAGGTAAAAGCACGACGCACCTCGGGAAAACCAAACACGAAACCGATTGAGCAAAAGAGCTCCATTGGCCCACCTTCTCCTCACCACCAAACAAAAACACGGGAAGCAGAACCCCGCGGCTTCCTTGCAAACCCGCAAAGTGGGCTAACGAACCCCTGGTTAGAACCAAAAAACACCTTAGTAACAACACCAACACGGGGAAACAAACGGCTAGCTCGTGTCTTGATCCATCGATCGATCCATGGCGCCACCACGGTGTTGCAGCGGTCGTTGACCAAGGTCTGCAGCAGGTCCAGCACGTGGGGGTCCGGGGGCTGGCCCTGCTTCTGCAGCGCCAAGTTCCCGGACCTCGGAGTCGATCGATCGATCGCGGCGAGGCTCAGGCCCAACGGACCCGGGGGGGGGGACGGTTTGTAGTCACAAAGGGAAGTGATGCAACCAGCCAAGTAGCTGGTCTAAAATAAGACCTGCCAAGTTGAAGTTTGCTTTTCAAGTCAAAACATCCCCGCAAGAGCAAGTGGACATCTTTGACATCACTTACAGCGGGGATTCGTCTTCAATCACTTAGGCTTCCCCCCCAAACAAGACGCGGAGATCCGGGGAGCTTAGATTCCAAAATCAGGATTCGGACTGCTGAAGCTGGCTTGGTGCTCTTTTGCTTCCCCTTTTGCCTTTCGGCCCCCCTAAACAAATACAAAACAAATCGCTGTGCGACTTTGAGGCAGGGCACCCTTTCAACGCCTTTCTGCGCGCTCATCCTGCGGACTCCAAAACGAGTCCAGCTTTCTTGGCATGGGAGCTGGGAATCTGCATCTATCTCGCATAAGGTGTAAACCAGCCTTGGATTTTCCGGCTTTGAGCTTCGAGAATACAGAACTTGATCGAAAGAATGCAAAGAACATGAGACATGCAAATGAAAAGCATGGAAAAGGGCGGACACGAACAGCATCAAACGGCTGTCCATCCCGCGCATCAAAATGTGTCGCAAAGCAAAAACTCAAGGAACTTAGGGGAGTGAGTCTATGTTCACCCAACTCTACATCGAGAACAACTGGGTTTCCCACGTTCCCTTTCGTGGAATCGGTTTTCGAATCAAGGTCACGTCGGGGCAAACAAAACGATCTGAATACTGCCAGGACGGCTGGATCTGCCATCGCGCTTTGGCAGCGATGGTTCCTGGCGCTTCGAATGCCAAGCGCTATCTCAGTACGCACTTGCAGGGGATGCCTCAGAAATTGGGGGCGTCGGTTTCCCCCCAACAAACACACACACATACACACACACACACACCCACACCCCCAGACACCCCCCACACCCCCACCCACACCCCCCCCCAACCCGCACCCACACACACACACACACCCTTGTCAACATGCAACCGGATGCCGGGAACGTGTGAGCAGAGTCATTGATGCTAATCCACATCGAGCGCATCTTGTAGCTCTAAACTTACGAGCGGCCAGGATGATCCTTCGCTATTTTCGTTAGCACCAGTTTGGCATATGGGTGTGTCTTTTTCTAGAGCACCTTTTTGTGGGTGCTTTAAAGGGACACCGAAAGGAACACCAAAACCATCCAAAACCCATTTCCCCCGCCCCCCCCAACAAAAGGACACATCCATATCCCTACAATGAAGACTGCACTTGGGGGGGGCAACTATCTCGCCACTGTCAGGAAGTCTCACTGGAGAAAAAAACTTAAACTTGCTGTGTAACACTAAATGGCTGCTCCAGACAGCCTGCTCCAGACAGCTTAGAAAGTTCCCCAAATCCTCGCCAAAACCGAAGGCGGTTGACTTGATGCAAAACAACTCCAGGAGCTGGTTCTTAGGGCCCAAAAAAACGGCATCATTTCGGAGACCCAGTCACTTCTGATCGGGTGGATGGGCCCAAAAAACGTCCAAGCCTGCCTGCTTACCGCTAAATTGGTTTTGCCAAACATGAAGTCCAGGACGTGTGGCCCAAATGTCAAAGGCAACACAGCCCTCGCAGTTTCAGGTTGCTGCTGAATGTCTCCCCAAATTTATGCCAAGTCGACACAAAAACCCCCGCCCTCCCTCCCTGGAAGCCCCAAAGAAGGCAACTTGCAGCCGGGCCTAAGGGAAAAACCAGCGAGGGGTGGTGCCAAAGTCTCACTTCCGTTGCTTCCAAAACGAACACCGAAGCCCAGCCGCTGCGTTTCCTCAACCCCAAGTGGCGCAAAGTCCAGGAAAAGTGAGCACTTCTCCGTGCGGGGGAGAAACACACACACACACACCCAACCAAAACCCGACAAAAGCGGCAGGTCCTTCGTTGTCCAGGAAGATCACGCGCTTCTTGGCGCTCCGGTAAGCGCTCAACACCTGAAGAACAAAAGTTGGAAGACATCGATGGAGGTTGCCATGCTCAATCAAGCGCCGCGGGGGGGCGGTTGGGGGCCTTAGAGAACCCGCTTTTCCCCAATAACGGGCGCATTGGCTTGACGCACGCCAGAACATGGGAGGGGTTGAGGTTTGGGGACATTTGCCGCCCACACCGAAAAAAAACAGCTCAAATGGCAGGCTTTGGGCTTGGGCTGGTTTAGGGTAGGTTCATGGAGGCCAAAGTGCTAGATCTGATCCCTCCAAAGCGTGCCGCGAATTCTTCGAAGCCGGGGACATTGTGAGAACGACCACGGGCGTGAAAGCAACATGTACTCTTGGACCCCTTTGGCGATCGAAGGCCTTAGCGTTGCCCGGCCAGGAGAGTCTGCCTTTGGTCCCCGAATCAAGGGGAATTTTTAGGGACAAGACCAAATCAACGGAGGTCCAGTCCTTGGACTCTCCGCCGCATTTTGTTGCCACTTTCCAATTGCGTTCCCGGGCCCGAACCCCACCTCTTCCGTGTGGATGTGAGGTGGTCCTGGCGCCACGAAATCGCAAAAACGCGCAAGCGCGATGTGCCGAGGGCTCTCTGAAATGGCACAGTTCAATTGTTTCGCCAGTGAGTCAAGCTGAAGTTCGGACCGTGCCGCCTTTAGAGCGATACAAGTATACAAGGGGACTCAACCGTTCCCACGGTTTGGCCGGGGTGACTTGCAGGGCATGCCACGCCAAACCCCAAGAACCGGAGCATGACCATTTCTGACATAGCATTACCCTGGAATGGGGATTTTCTTGATACCTATCACAGAAAGTGGCCGCTTAAGACTCAGTTGCCCCACCCAAAAGTCAAAGGTTAACCTTTTGGAGCCTGGACTAAAATTGGGTCCAAAATGGAGGGAAACTAAAAGGTCAGATCCGGTCGATTCGCTTTGGGCAAGTGAGAGTATCCAGCTTTCTATAACCGCCCAGGAGCCCAAAACACATTTTGTTTTTCTCCGAATTTGGAACAAACCAAAGCGTGCTTTCTCTGAAACACAAAGAAGACACCGGCCGCTTTTTTTTTCCCGCTGAGCTTTCTTCTGAACTTCAGCACAGATGCTGACTGGTACATATGGTGACAATTGCTCTCCTATTCATCAACTATATGGGGGCAACAGAAAGCCCAACACTCACAGCTGGACGCGGCCGAATTGAAGGTTTCTGCTTTTGGCAGTTCTCAGATGCCCAGTGGCCAGGGCTTGAGTTTAAAGGACACCCTTCCCCCGACCAAAAAGACAGCCCCGGCTGGGAGATTTTTCGCCGTCCGCGTCTTCGGAAGGAACTCCGTCCTGAGGAGTTGCGCACCGCCATGGCCGAGGAGTTGCGGGTGACCTTCAGCTCCGAGAGGTTCTTGTGCACCCACCTGGGGCCCCGGGGGGGACGAAGGAGGGGACGGGGACTGGTCTATGTTGGGAACCCGTGTTTGGGTGTGAAAAAAAAAACCAACATTTATTCTTTTTTGCTGAAACCATTCTTTTGGGTCATCCTTTCTAAGAGTGTTTCCTTTACCAAGAGGAAGCTGCGAATGATTGTCCCCCACGTGAAAGGGTACGTAATCACTGCATTGCCATTGGACCAAGAGGGGTGGCTTGAGGGCATACTTGCCACGGAGAAGTCAAACAAATCAGTGACTCCCCTTGCTTTGCAGCGAATGCGCGAGCCCCAGATTTTAGTGGCTTTCTCACTCGATCCCCTGGTCTTCGCGGGAAATATGCTGCGCACCTCTGTCCTCAACTCCAGATCGATGGGATGGTACCTCACCTGGTGAATTTCCGTCCCGGCCATTTTCGGAAGCCACAACACAGGCTTTACCTCCTTGGCATGGGGAAAACGAGAGGATGTGCCTCGACCAATAAACCGATTCCATGTCCCCGGAGTACTCAACCTGCCGAATCTGGTCCGGATCACATCGAAAACGGGACAGCAATCCCATGGCTCTTGCAGTTGATCTGCAAACTCAATTCCAGAACCTGAAGTCACAAAAGGATATCCCCTTTTTCCTTTCCTTTCGGATAGCCTCCGTACAAGGGATCCCCAAGCAAGGGACCATCTCATGGGTCGCAGGTTGAACTCTTAGCTTCCAAGTGGCTGCACCAGTGTCTGCGAGGAGACATAGGAGTGGTCCTGAGGGAGGTGCTGGATGTCCGTGGGACCTTTTGCCCAACTGAAAGCACCCATCTTCTCATGGGCAAGGCGGGTGGTGCATGCACCCCATGCGACTGTTCCTCCTAAGAATGTTAGCTAAAGCAAAATATGTCGGAACACTCGACATGGGTGGCCCAACGGTCAATATGTTGCACGCAACTCAAAAGTCGGTTTGACTGTGCTGAAGCATGCAGATTCAAAGTTGCTGATGGCTCTGATGCACTCAGATTGAGGTTGTCATTGGGTGTTGTGGAACTGATTCCTTGTTTGGCTGGCTACTTCAACTGATTGAACACCATTTTCACACAAGAACCCTGTCCCGGCGCCACTGCAAACAGTGTTTGACCATTTTTGACACTGGTCCCGGCCGCCAAAAGCGCAATGAGGTTGACAAGGGAATATCATTCTAGATTTACCCTTTCAGCATCACAGCAACAGAAAAACCCTCACTGCAATTTGGCCCAACCGCTGTTGTTCAATAATAGTAAGGGGAACGATCAAAGGAAACAAAAGCAACAAACACTGAGAAGCCAACCCTCACTGCCAATTGGCGAAACCTCGAAACCCCTAAGCCTTGCGAGTCGCAAGTTGCGGCCTTCGGATCCAACGCTTTCGGTTCCCTCGGCGTTGGGAGTCCTTGACGAAGCGCTCCGCCTGGTTCTCGGGGGAGATGCAGAGCGCTTGGTCCAGGGCCGCCAGCACCTCGCGAGCGCCGCGAGGGAAACCAGGTGCTCCAGATTTGAGAGGTTGGAATTTCTTTTTTTCCGTAGAACATAGTTTCTGTAGTCTGTTTTAGGGGAACCCTCCCAAGCAAAGGGGAGAGAAGGGCACTGTTCTTTTTTGTCCATGGAACCCCCACCAGCTAGAACCAGCGATTGGCCCATTGGCCCATTGGCGGCCCGGGAAATCGCTCGGGGAAATCGAGGAGAAATGCTGGCCTTCTTGGGGCACACACACACTCGCCCATTGGTCGGTAAGAGCGCCGCCGTTTCGGCTTGGCTTCGTGCGAAAGGCAGTGATCTGAACATTGCTTGGAGCTCGGGGTTCATATTCCAGAAGAACCCCAAAGGCCGAGGTTGTTGCTGGTTTAGAGCACCTACACCCGGCTCATATATGGGGGGGGTCTGTCTTTTTGGTTGGCTTTGTATAGGAAACCAAAAGGACACCAACCTGCTTGAAGCTCCCCCCCAATTTTGAGACCAACCATCACTTCGCAGTGGTTCGGCTGGGACTCAGGTCAGCAGCCTTTTCAACCCACGACTCGGATTTCGCCCCCATCCACGTGAAAATGTGATTCCAAACATGAGTGGTGCGTAAGTCAAGGGCATGACCATGCATGACCAATTGAATCAAAATGCGGCGGCCAAATAGTTAATAAGGGTTATAGACACGGTTCTAACTGAGGCAACCGAGGTTAGGGGATCCAAACGCTGGGTTTCCCATGTTGCGACGCCACCCCCCCCCTCCGTATTTCTCAGATGCCGAGGCACGCTGGTGGCGTTCCAAGGGTTGATCTTGAAAGCGCCTGCTCAAATGAGAAATGGGTGCGCCTTTTCTTGCTGGCACCCTTTCTTGGATGGATTTTTAAAGGAAGCCAAAAGGAAAACAACCATTCTAGGGTCCAAATGGGCTGGAGAAAATCACATAGGCATGCAACGAATGCCCCATGCACATCCTGAAAGGAATCAAAACAGTTCAAAGGTTTCGTACATCCGGTTGAATTGCCAAACGCGCCAGGTGCGGTCGCGCGAAGCAGAAAAAACAGCGACCTGACAAGCAAGATGCTCCAAGCACAAGGGATGCCAACAACGCTGAAAAACACACTCTGACATATAGCCACATATAACAACCTCCCCGCGGTGGCCCAACATAGCCAAACATAACAAGCAAGACAGAGCCGGCCATAGCAAGCCAACCAGAGCCAAAACACAACAGACACCCTGTACAGTACCAGCAGGAAATGGTGTCCATTCTTTTTGGGGGTTTGTCAAACATGAGTTTAGATGGAAGTTTTCCCACCGAACTGGGGACATCAAGAAACCGGCCTCAAGAAAAGGGGCGCGAGAGGGAATTGCCGTTTCAAGATGGCGATGGCCAATTTCCGGGGAGCCGCTGAAACCATGCGGCAGAAGGGTGAAACACACAGGCCTTGTTTCTGACTGAGCGAAGGGGAACCCGGAAGCACAGCCCACATCCCCACATCCAACCACAGCAAAGGCCAACAAGGACCTGACTGGGCTGGGAAATATAGCAGCCCTTCTATTTACTCAAGATGGACAATTGTAACACTGGGTCCAGTAGTGATGCAGGACATCTCCGCCCCATCAGCCCGGGGCTTGAGGACGTCAAAGGGCCGTCTGCTTCTCCAAGGCCGTCAGCCCGTCCAGGCCATTTATCACCAACGCTTGGCACTCGCTGAGGTCTTTTGCAGCATCTGGCGTCTTTGTCATTTCCGACACGCCATTGCTCGTCTTTGCCCGTAGCTCCGAGGCGCGCCGTCAGCGTCTTGCTGAACTTGGCCAAGTCGAGTCTATCGACACTTTTCACTGTCCAGCACCCGTCCTTCGTGACCCAGGGACGTTGGCATCCTGACAGATTCCCTTCAACACCAACAGGGGGGACCTAAGCAAATACTTCTGCAAATGGAAGGACCCCAAACTAATTTGCTGGCGGTCAGGGAACGACCTTCCGGGTTTTGGGAATGAACCGGACAAAATCCTGCGCCAGTTCCATTGGACTGGCTTGTAGGGGTCGTTCCGAAGCCTCCCCCGCCTGTGAGCACCGAGGAGCAGCCGCAGAACTCGCTGATGAGCGCCACCCCTTTGTGGTCCTGAGCCGCTTCTTGGGCACAAGTCCTCAAGGAGGAAGCTCAGCCCTGCCCACGAAGCTCACATGGCCCTTTTTGTCGTTAGATGGGCGCGCTCAAGTCCTCCCAAACAACAATGCACTGCCACTACTTCTGGCAGTTACTCATATTGAGGAAAAGAAAGACCTGCCGCGGTCCATGACCGACCCTATCAACCCCAAGTAAGGGTCTCCCTAGACCAACACATGTTTAAACACCTATTGCTTGAACATCCTTCTTTTGCCCCTCAAAATTGGCCAGGGTAACGGGGACCTCGAATTGGAAAACCCATCTTACTTGTGTGCCGGGGTCCAACAAATCTGGTTGCATGAAACGCATGTCCACCCCTTTCGACCGCGTGGACGCGGCCTGGGAGTGGGCGGCATAGAAGTTGAAGGGGATGAGGTTGAGCCCGTCGTTGGTGGAGGTGTCCAGCAAGATGTCAGTGGCCTGAGCGCGTTGACCCCAGTTTCGGGTCAAGTCGGAATTGGAACGCGAAATGGGGTGGTTTCCTTTGGCTTTTTCTCTAGACTGGCCCCAGCAAGTGGGATGCATGGCATCCCAAGGGCACAAGGCTTCAGCTTTCAGTCTTCGAACACACCAGGGCTGCCTTGCAGTAAGTCATTCAAAACTGGATAATACTTTCTACCTCGTACCTCAAATTATGAAAAAAACATGCTACCTCGCAAAATTAAGGGTCCACCTTGCATCTCGTATTTCGGGGCCTTCCTGGCTTCTTAAAAAATGGTGTAACATTGGAGGGGGGTCGGTCGAGCCAGGTGTAGTGTTGCAATCGTTTTTTTTGGCTTTTTTTTTCAAGCTTTTGTGCTTTTCAAGCTTTTCAAGGGAATTAAGCAGGAACGGCTGGACCTGATGCCCGTCTTCAGAGACAGAGAAGCGCCGGATATTCTCAAACGCTTGTGTTTTCAAGTTGTTCAAGGCCAATTAAGCAGAAATGGCTGGTTCTTGAGAATTTGATGCCAATCTTAATGAGAAAGGAAATGGCCGGATTTTCTCAAGCGTTCGTGTCAAGCGTTTGAAGGCCAATTGTGCAGGTTTTTGAGACCTTGCTGCTAATCTTGATGAGACGCGGGACTGGCCGGCCTTTCGTTTTGGGCCGTGTCTTCCTCCCCAACAAACATGTGCATGTGAGATCGGAAAGTTGAGGAGTCTGGCTCCGTCTGCCAAGGCCGCAGCGCGGCGCAGGTCCGATTGGCCGTGGCTTACCCCGCTTGGCGGCCAGCACGCAGGTCACTCAGAAACTAGGCTCTGGCTCGGCCGCGGGGTCGGCCGCTTCTTCCATTGGCGCCTGCCTTCTTCCAGCCAGGTCGCCAAGGAGCATCACGACCACAGAGAGCCGGCATCACAGCATCTGGCATGACCAGGGATACTGGGAGGAGCAGCATCCACAGGGAAAAGCGGGAGACACGACCAGAGCCGCCTGCACAGAGGAGAGAAGCAGCAGACACGGCATCGCAGCATCTGGCATGACCAGGCAGGAGCATCATCCACAGGCAGGAGACACAACCCCATCTGGCAGGAGGCATCCACAGCAAGACGCAAGACAAGCGGGTCTAAAAGGACCTCCGAAATGGTTGGTTGTCCTTTGGTTTTCCATTAAAACCACAAACAAAACTACCCCTCCCCAACAAAACAAAAAATCAAGGTTTTCCATTTGGTTCCCCCCTCCCTTAAAAGAAGAAGAAGAAGGAGAAGAAGAAGAAGAAGGAGAAGAAGAAGAAGAAGAAGAGGAAGAAGAAGAAGAAGAAGGAGAAGAAGAAGAAGAAGAAGAAGAAGAAGAAGAAGAAGACGAGGAAGAAGAAGAAGAAGACGAAGAAAGACAACACAAGAAGTATATATATATATATATATACATATACATACATACATTTATATATATATATATATAGATATATATGCTCACCCCCCCCCCCAGGGCCTACCTTTTCACTTGTACAGTCTAGAAAAACTCATAATTTCAAAAGTAGGGGGTGAGCATATATATATATATGTACATTTTTCACTTTGATGTTGCACACAGTTTCCTTTATATATTACTCTGCTGCTAGAAGCTCAACCAGGTCATTCAAAGTATCTCTTTTTTCTTGTAGCTATGATGTCAGAAGCCAGTGAAATCCCGAGACGCTTATAGAAACTTCTGGAAAGTTTTGCAGCACGATGCTTCTGTGAAAAAGCTCAGCAATCTGTCTTCCATTCTTCAGAAACAAGTAAAGGATTTTTTTTTTTAAAAAAAATTTGTTTGAGCCTGTGCAGGTTTTAAGCGTCCAAGGCTCCAAAACCTGCACAGGCTCAAAAAATGCAAAAAACCAAACCTGAAAGCTCCAAAACCTGCACAGGCTCAAAAAAATGTAAAAACAATGCAAAAATCCAGACCAATCAAGCCCTGACCTCTGACATTGCATCTGGGTTTTGCATTTTTTGCATTTTTTGAGCCTGTGCAGGTTTTGGAGCTTCCAGGTTTGGATTTTTTGCATTTTTTTGAGCCTGTGCAGGTTTGGAGCTTCCAGGTTTGGTTTTTTGCATTTTTTTGAGCCTGTGCAGGTTTTAAACATCCAAGGCTCCAAAACCTGCACAGGCTCAAAAAATGCAAAAACAGAGAGCTTTCAGGTTTGGACTTTTTTTGCATTTTTTTGAGCCTGTGCAGGTTTTAAACATCCAAGGCTCCAAAACCTGCACAGGCTCAAAAAAAAGCAAAAACAGAGAGCTTTCAGGTTTGGATTGTTTTTTGCATTTTTTTGAGCGTGTGAAGGTTTTAAGCACCCAAGGCTCCAAAACCTGCACAGGCTCCAAAAAATGCAAAAAAAATCCAAACCTGAAAGCTCCAAAACCTGCACAGGCTCAAAACATGCAAAAAATGCAAAAATCCAGACCAATCAAGCCCTGACCTCTGACATTGCATCTGGGTTTTGCATTTTTTGCATTTTTTTGAGCCTGTGCAGGTTTTGGAGCTTCCAGGTTTGGATTTTTTTGCATTTTTTTGAGCCTGTGCAGGTTTTAAACATCCAAGGCTCCAAAACCTGCACAGGCTCAAAAAATGCAAAAACAGAGAGCTTTCAGGTTTGGATTTTTTGCATTTTTTTGAGCCTGTGCAGGTTTTAAGCACCCAAGGCTCCAAAACCTGCACAGGCTCAAAAAATGCAAAACAAATCCAAACCTGGAAGCCTCAAAACCTGCACAGGCTCAAACCAATTAAACCAAAAATGCAAAAATCCAGACCAATCAAGCCCTGACCTCTGACATTGCATCTGGGTTTTGCATTTTTTTGCATATTTTTGAGCCTGTGCAGGTTTTGGAGCTTCCAGGTTTGGTTTTTTTGCATTTGTTTGAGCCTGTGCAGGTTTTAAACATCCAAGGCTTCAAAACCTGCACAGGCTCAAAAATGCAAAAAATGCAAACATCCAGACCAATCAAGCCCTGACCATCTGGGTTTTGAATTTTTTGCATTTTTTGAGCCTGTGCAGGTTTTGGAGCTTCCAGGTTTGGATGTTTTTGCATTTTTTGATCCTGTGCAGGTTTTGAGGCTGAAACCATAAAAAAAAGTGCTTTTTTGCAGTTTCCTTAAAACAACACTGCAAATAACAGTGTTTTCAACACTGACCAAGTTGCATCTGAAAACGCTTTCCGTTTTCGTGTTTGTTGCTTTCTCGAATCCTGTTTTGCATCAAGTACAGAAAGCACATCTGAGACAATATCAACAAATGCACAAAAATACCGTAAATTACAGTGTTTTTTGCAAGGCATCTGCAAACCAAGTGGACACTGAACATCTGCAAATAAATCTCTTTCATGCAAAAAGTAGAAAGGTAGGCCCTGGGGGGGGGTGACCATATATATATATATATATGAAGCGAGAGAGACCTATTTTGGGTAAAACAGAGTTTCCTTTCGAAAGCTCACATGACAGATGGTGACTGCAGACGCTGCCAGGTGGCCGAAAGCACGCCCAGCTGCTTCTCCCGGCTGGTGTCCTGCGCCCCGTGCAACCGGTGACCATGTCGCGTCACTTCTCATCGGGTGGACAAAGGAACCAACAAAAAGAACACGATTTTGATTGGGTCAAAACGCTCACATTCCATTGCAAGAGATTGTGACACCTTGTTACTTATTTCACTAGAATGGTCCAAAGCCCAAAGTGACGAAAGTCCGAAACGGAACTCGTGAAGTGAGCAGCAATCGGTGACCTCCTTCCCCAGAGAGGAGCAGCCCCGCCATTTGGAGCAGGGAATTGATCTCAGGCACGGGTATTGCCCGAGTCAAACCAATAGCCCTGGTGCAAAACGCAGTGGAACCTTAGTGGGCAACCGACCAACTGAACCGGGCCGCAAAACAACGGCCGCAAGCAGGCCGATTTGGTTCGGATGCGCCATGAAGGAACCAACGCGAGGTCTTGGGATGGTAACTTTCAATATGACCAGGAGAACCAAATGGGCGGGAGGCTCGGGTGTCAGGGTCTTGAGTTCAAGTTGGATTCCGCCCACTTTCGGCAGCTGCCCTGTTTAGACACATGCCCTCATTGCACAAGGTGCATGCGGATTCTTCTAAGAGGCTTCACAGAAAGAGGTCCCGCAAATTGTTGTCAAATCTTAGACAACCTGGACACTGCAAACTACTCTGGCATTCTCATTTTCCTGGCTAGGCTAAAGCTTCCACTTGAACCATGGAATCTTACCTCTGGGTTTTACATGGTGCTTTCCTGTGGTTACCCGCTGTATACGTAGTGTTAACTGGAAGCGCTGGGAGTCAAAGCACCCTTGGTCTGGAAAATACCTGCCCATGCCCTTTGCACGGCGCCCAACAAAAACACCCCACCTGTTAATCGGTGCGTTTGAAAGCGATGAATCCTTCTGTGCAAGGCACCTCTCCTTGTTCAGAGAGGTCAATTCAGCGACCTCTTTTGGAAGTTGTCAAACAGGACAACAACCAGTTTTAGGGTAACAAGAAAGGACCGGAAATCAAACTACATCAAACTACTCTTTTCTGCCTGGGCCACCCCCCCGACGAAAAAAACAAAAACACATCCACTCGGTTCTTTTCGCCTGTAGCTTAATGGCCCAATATGTTGAACCGTTGGTTTTGGCAAACAAGCGCCGAAGCGTGTCCTCCACCACAATCTCCACGACCGGCTGGCCATTCCTGCCGAAGGCTTTGTTGGTCTCATCCTCGGGCGTGCAGTTGAAACAACAAAGGCCCCGGCCCCAGTTTAATGGGAGACTAACATGACTAGGTCCTCCAGTAGAGAGGTTAGAATAAGGGTACCAACTTCTGTCGTAGTCTACTTTAGTAGGGTAACCCTCCAACAAAAACAAAAACGGTAAAAGTTGGCACCTAGCTGGGGGACCTAGAGGCTGCTTCAACAGTGCTTTTTCGCAAAATCGTTTTTTTTTTTCTTCAAAAGGATTGGCCCAAGCCCGGGACATGAGCCAAACCACAGGGGGGCCCATAGTTTTTGCTTGCGAATTCCAGCTGAGCAGTGACCACTTCCGTTGAATTGCCCAACTGCGCCACTAAAAACAAAAAGGCCCTCCCACCTCACGACACTTCGCGGAACTCGACTGAGAAAATGGTTGGGTTTCCTTTTGGACATACACAGTTATTTCGCTTCCTGAGTTGACTGGCCCAAAAAGGCTAAATTTGTTTGCTTGCCAACATGCTCACCAACTACCATTTCCTTACAGAAAAAAGTCTGATAGCTCCTTCAGAAGCCTTCATCCGCTGGATACCCCAAGCTCCTTAACCCCCTTCCAACCACCAGCTAGCCTTCCCACTAACATGGCAGTGGGAGGCCACCTGGAAGACCCGTTTCCTTTGGCTGGGCTCTTTTTGGTCCCGCTTCAGGGTCTTCAGGCATCCAACCTCCAAAGCCGTTTTGCAAGGCCCTCGCGTGGAAAGGCAGTATGTCACGGTACATTCAGTCATCAGGATGGGAGAAGAACTTGTCAAGTCGGGTAACGCCAGGTCTCGCTCTGGGCGAATCGTCGGCATCCCAAACGGGTCACGTTGCTGGAATGCCCTTTGGTCTTGACGTGTTTTGGGGGGTCGGGCCAGTTTGACCACTCCTCCAGAAACTGGCCAAAAAGCCCGATTTGATGTTGTTTGCCCGCCTGGCGCCAACCCCCCAAAAGTGACCAAAGCTCTCAGGGTTTCTCAGGGAGAAAAAACCCTCTAACCGTCCTGTTTGCCCAATTCACCCCATTTCACCCCAAACCTTGGATTTGGTGTCGTTTACCAACGCCCCAAACCCCAGCGAAACCCACCCCTGGCTTCGCCTCGCTACCTCACCGAGGCGCGGCCATCTTTTGCAGCTCCTCGAGGCCCACCTGGTCCAAAAACAAAAGGAATTCCAAAATGGTTTGCCCAAGTGGAAATGGACCAAAACCTGTCGGTTTGCCCCTTTTTGCTTAGTCTTGAGCCACACCTACCAGGGTCCCCTTTTAAAGGAACCTCGTCGACAGTCAGAACCCCATAGTAGATAGGAAAGGAGTGAGATCCTTGGAATGCTTTAGATAAAACCAAGAGGATAATTGTGACAACAAAGATGCCCCCTGATGGTTTGGGGGCCATGTGTCTTGAAGGCGTCCCGGAATAGGACATCCCCTTAAAAAAAAATCCTCAAGAAGGGCTTCAAACGTATCCAAACCCATCCAAACCTTTTATGGGAATACCCGAGTGACTCGAGTGGGTTCCCTTCGGTGAGACACGTCGAGCCTGAAAGGTCCCAAAGCTGGCCGTCAAGGGAACCGAACCGGGCTCGCGCCTTTTAAAAAAGCTTGGCCCAGTGGTCAGGTGGGTGCGTCTCTTCGGGGTGAGCTCTGTTTGGTTTGTTCGAAAACGGGCAACCAGAGGGAAACCCAGCATGGGGTTCCCTGATGTTTCAAAAGAGAGCATGAGGACTCCTGTTCCAGGCAAAGGCCATGCTTGGTGATGCCCTCAACGAGAAATGCGTTGTCTCATGTGTTCCCCTTTTGGGATCGGACACCAATTCACAGGGGGGGTGGCCTTTTTGGTGGACTTGAATCCATAGGAGGGACTGCAACCAGAAGAATCAGGTTACAACTAACTGGGAAGTGCATTTTTTTTTGTTGCAAAGCGGAATCTCCCCGGGCCCAAAGGAGTTTTTCCGCACGCCCATCGGCTTTTGTCGGGGCCCCGTGTCCACACGCGTTCCCAGAATGTGTCCCCAGAGTTTCTTGAACAGTCGGACACTTTACGAGAATGATCACTGGCAATCGTTTCTAAAACGGGGGGAACCCCCCGTCGGATGCCACAACCATGATTGTCCTTTGACGCAAGCCGGAAACTGTTTACTGGGTTGCCCTCAGATCCCCCGCTAAAAGTTCAACTGTTAGTGGGTTTAATGGAACAAAGCTAAGGAACCGGATGGCTGGGAGCCACCAAGTTTATGAGAACCCGTTGAACAGGTCCCGTGATTGGCAATCCAAGGACCCTGTGGGTCACCTCGCGGGTCACTTTGGCTGAAAAACCTCCGATTCTGCCAACCTCCCTTGGCTTAGCAGTAAGTTGATTGAAACAAATGAGAAGATATTTCCAGTGATAGATCCCCTTTCAAACTGGGGCAACAAACAAAAACATAGATCTCAAGAGAATGGAAGGCGACTAGCTCCCCAACGCTCCCTTCCAACCACCAGCTTCATCCCATGGCATTGACATCCAGGTTTTCTTTGGGACCGGGTGCCTAACGAGGGAGAGAGGTTAGACAACAAAGGCTCCAAAGATGCGGAAAGGAGATGATTTTAAGCCGCTCCCTCTGTTCAGTCGCGTTTCCATGGGTCAAAATCCAAATCGCCCCCCAGTGAACATCAACCAATCCACTAAATTAGGTTCTATCATGGGTGGTGCATTCATTAACCAAAATGGGACCAACCACAACGGTTTTGACCACCACCGCCATTTGGGTCTCCAACCAGCTCCTTCACCTACCGGATCGATCCAAAGCACAGAGCTTCGACCGAGGTGCCATTCCCTGGCGCCCGGAGTCCGAAAAGCGCGCGCGGATGTACTGCACCAAGACCACGCGCTGCCTGAGCCCAACAATTGCTGCTGTGGATGGACCAAAATGATGGATGATTCCCGTGTTTTTTTTGTTATTTTTTCCAACAATCATTTTTTGCCATTGTTTCAAAGTGGTGCAGGATTTCGTCCATCAACAGTATGGATATGGATGGTCACAACATTTCTGGATATATGAACCATATTGCTTGCTGGTGCTCAGTGAAGAATGAGTGAATGAGCCTGGGGATTTCCCTAAAGGAAACCACAAGGACAGTTTACAGGGGTCATTCCCTCATTCCTGCTGGATTCGATTCCCAAACTGGAATTCACAAGCTTTCAATGAGGAAGCTCCCCCATGGGTGAGATTTCTTTACCTCCTAATCGGCCAGCTCGGAACACATTGTCCAAAAAACCAACCGGGGGCGACCGATACTTTTAACACCCAAAATAAAGGACTCTTCAAGTACTGGACCTAGCTCATCACAAATAGGCAAAACTCGTGGTTTTTGGGCTTGGTCATTAAGCGTGCATCCGGGTGAAAGTAGATGGTACATGTCCTTTTGCGTGGATATGCAAAACAAATCTCGCATCAGTTGGGGTGCCCCACCCCACCCCACCCCACCCCACCCCACCCACCCCACCCCACCCCACCCCACCCCACCCCACCCCACCCCACCCCGCCCCGCCCCGCCCCGCCCCGCCCCGCCCCACCCCACCCCACCCCACCCCACCCCACCCCACCCCACCCCACACACGGGGGGGGGGGGAAAAAAAACAGCGCCGGTGGCCTGTAGGAGCTGTACTCCGAGAGGAATCGGTGAAAGATCCGCAGCTTCAAGGGCAACCCGCTGAAGCAGTCGAAGCGATCATAGGAGCCTCGAGTCGACTTCGGGAAGCCTCACGCCAACGACCCCGAGTTCAGATGTTTCTCGGGTCAAGGGGCCATTTGGTCGGTCCGGGGCTTCTGAGAAATACTTGCGTGCCGAAATGGGCTTTGCAACCAAGTCATTCCTGTTTTTGACCACAGGAACTGAGAGGAATGGTTCGAGGAGCCCTCAACGCAGTGCCGGGCATCCTCTGGTCCATTGTAAACCGCAGAAGGCTAGGCGATCCTAAGGCTTCCCTGAGCGATGAGAGTCATGGACATCTGCCAAAGGGCTTGACCCAAAACCAGCCTTTTGAAAGCTCAAAACAAGCCAACCAGCAATTTGGTGGATGTCCTCACGATTCCTCACGTGTTTCTTCCGCACCGCTCTTTGTGGCTCATTGGGACATCAGGCGCCTCTGTCTGTTGCGCCGGGCGGCGTTTTTTTGGGTTGTGTTTTTTGCTTTGTTTGTTGGCTTGTGTTGTTGGGTATGGGGTACCCACGACTGTGACACAAACCAAAACACAACACTTACCCCTTAAAACTCCAAGCCCTGGGGAAGTGAATCTTTTACACACATATAGCCCATGTTACCCCCAACAAGTTGAAGAGTTGTGCTTTTAAGAGGCAAGAACAGAAGCAAACAACATGAACATACAACGGACCAGGGTGGACTCGAGCCACCATCGCCACAATGACGCCTTCAGCACAATCCCAGCCAAACCCAAAGACGCTCGTATCTCCGGGCGCGCGGCCGATGATGGTCTTGCCTTTGAACTTGCTCCGGATGGCGTTGCATCTCTCCACCACCTGAGGACTCAAAAAATACGCATCGAAGCAAAGGGTTTTTGTCTGCCTTGCCCGGCGTCACTCGGTTTGCGGAGCCCAGATCCAGATCCACTTGGACCAAAAGGAACCCATGGGAAAGACAGAGGCAACACTCCCCGGGTCAGTGAACCCCCCCTATTGTAAGTCAGAGGTGTGTGATACCTGGATCTTGGCTACCTATGGCTTGCCTGGATCCACTGGGCAAGGCGCGGTAAGCGCTAGATTATAGCCCCACACGCCACCTTGGTTGACGTTGGAAGGGGAGCAACAAATTAAACTTTAGCAGTTGAGCGGGGATTTCCCACTAAACCACAATCAGCAAAAATGTAAAATGTTTCCCAACAACAAACATGCCACAGCCCACCTGCGACTGGAGCAAACAAAGTCGCTTCCCATTCAGGCAAAAAAAACCTCCCCTCGTTTACTTCTTGATTGACCCAATACTAAACCTATCATACTAAACTCTTGACAGCCATTACTAGCCGGGTACTTTCAGACTTCCTTCATATATTTTAATTGCAACATCATATTGACCAAATGTAAATTTCGATCAAACCCATATAAACTCGTTACTTGCGATTGTGACGGTTTTTGATCCCTGCAAAGAGGGGCCCCATTTGGACTAGGATCGTGGAGAACCTACCTTTTGAGACCCCTGTTAAACTGCGGAGGGCTCACAAGTAGCTTTGAGAACTAAGACAAGGTCCCTTAAAAGATAATTACTTCCCAAAACTACCTGCTGTATAAGGAGACGCTCTAAATCTGGTAAAGGTGATGTGTTCACTAGCCCAGCTGTAGCTTTCAGAACCCCCCCCCCCCTCCAAAAACAAGAAACACGAAGAAAACAGAAGTACAGGTTAGCCCTCACCGCCAAAATGCGGCAAGCGCCCACTTTCAGCGCCCCGGTCTCGCTCGTTTTGCGGCTCCCCAAATAGCTGCCCGCTGGCGGCTCGGCGGGCCTTGTCGTCTGTGAGCTTCTTCACCAAGTGCTTGTAGGGGATGGCGAAATGATCCGCGAAGACCACCACACTGCGCGTGTCGTGCTCCACCTGAGCCAATTAAAAATAGAGCTATTAAAATGGTGGTCCCAGAACCATGTAAGGAAATGCGAAGGCGGAATTCCGCAACTATATACGGCTGGGATTGTCCCTTACTAACCTTGATCTACCCAGGTTTTGATTGCGGCCCACCTGTTTGAGCCGTGCCACTCTGCTTGGAACCCATCAAACGGCCGTTTTGGTGGGAAACACGGGGTGGTGCCCTTGGTTACCTTGACCAGGGAAGTGGAATCACTGGGTGAGTTGTTTGTTGATCCCTTGCTAAAACAAACATGAAATGTAGCTGTGTCGTATATGTCATTAATCCCTCTAAAGGTGGACATTCTAAAATCAAAGTCGAAGGGTATGATTGGAGATTGCACAATAACATGTCAAGTAAACACAAGGCCTTCTATTGAAAAACATGTCATGTTGTTGGCCGTTGTGTCATGGAAATTCTATCTGGCTGCTTTGCTTGCTCTCGAGCAACCAGGATCAGCGACGAACCGATGCCAGCTATGTGTTCCAAGCATCCCAAACACGGGCAAAATGTCAATGACATGGAGCTTGCTCCTTTTTTTTCTCCGATTTTTTTCCACCACCCCAACGTGAGCAAACAACCACCCACCACTCACCAGCCAGCTACTACACCAACGAGCTCAAAGCATTGCGCGCGAACAGGAGCTCGGCGTTCTTGGGGCCCAAACAGCCACGGGTGAAGCTTCGGAATTCCCAGTACTCAAATGACATCGGTGAAGTTCCAAATGACTTCGACTCAATCGATGCACACAAAACCCATTGGATTGGAACACTGGGTCGCCTTACCCGCTGTGACTTGGGGGGAGACCTTTTCAGCAGGTTTTTTTGAGCGGTTCTTGACTGAAACCCAGAAAAAAAGAAAACCGCCGGGTCTTTTGTCCCAAAGCCAAAGGCGGTGAACGACCTCCAGTGGATGTCCGTCGGGAAAGAAATGCATTCTGTTGTTCCCTGCCTCAAAACAAGTGCTGCTGAGGGGTCGGGGTTCTCCATTGGAGGGCCAAGGGTTGTGCAAAGGGGGCACCCTTAGGGTTGGAGGATTTGTTTTATCAGGGAACGCCAAAAGACTGCCATTATCTATCCAACAACAAACGGGCAAATTATGGGAATCTCCGACAAAGAATGCCATGAGACCCCTTTGACACTCAAGTGGAAACATGGGCAGGGTTCTGCGTGAAGGAACCCGGCCTACAACCTTCAAACTCCGGGCAACGTCTGCTGATTCTGCTTCACACTTAGTCTATACCCTACAACAACGCAAACATATGATCACAGAGAAACAACAACTAGAGGAGACTCCAAACTACAGCAACTTTCTGGTTTGGAGACTCCAAATGAGCAACTGGACAATGCATTTGCTTCCCGTCTGAATGCGCCTTTTTGCGCTTGTTGGGGCGTCAGGTGTCGGCGCCTCGCCCAGCACTGAGGGAACCGTGGCAAAAGCCTGAAATCTCACCCTGAAGGCTGGGCGTACACATCACCCTCCCCAAAGTGAAGTTTCCCTCGGAAGTTTCCCTGGAGATTTTGGGGACTCTCCGGGAATTTCTTTTTGGGGGACTCTCCGGTTGCTGGGCTCCAAGTTCCGCTCGCCTGGAGGATGCCGCCCTTCTGGAAGGAGTGCCGGGACCCCAAGACTTCGGCGCAGCAGGACATGAAGTGCCTGCCGAGCAAAAGAACAAAAAGAGAGCCATAGCTCACGGCATAGCGGACCACTCTGATATTGTACTGGGGTGATAATTTAGAGCAAACAAAAGCAATATATATATTTTTGCCGGGACACACCTGGATATTTTGCCATACCTTCAATGTAAACGGATATTTGCTTGGAGGGCCCCTGTCAAAAGGGAATGAAACCGGGGTCCTGCGCCTAAGTTAGTTCATGCTTCGACCTTTTTCACAAAACATGAGGCCTGAGTCCCCTCGACCGAAACCCGCGCTTCCAGGGAAGGCCCGTCAAGCCGATTCCGAATACATCTTCCGATTAGATCGTTCCAAGGATTCCATCTCTAAACAGGTCAGCTCCCCAGAAACACCTAGCCAAGGTCTGAGAAGCAAAGGGTCCCCCCCTTTCAAGGCCGGTCCCGGATTTATCATGGCCCTCTCGAGCCCTCCGAAAACTCTCCAAAAGATGCCCGGAGAGCACTCCAGGCAGCCCCCGCCCCAACAACTGGTTTTCTCTCGACCGGCTGGACGACAATTTTTAGGGTTTCGGAGGGGGAGCAACAATCAGCAATCAACCTAAACAAAAATCAGGCCTTCAGCAATCACCAGAAGGAAGACATCTTGAACGCCCGAACCTTTTTTTAGAAGGGCCCCTTTGTGCCTGAAAAGGTCCTTTGGGGCACTGACTCAGGCTCCGACCTTACCACTGCAGACCTTCTGCAAATCTTATTTGCGGAGATGGGCCTGGGTCGAAATTTCTAGCCACCAGGAAATGGGAGGTTTTAGTCTTTGGTTTGAGGCAGACCCATTTGTGAGATAATCTATTTGCTCAAGGTGACAGCATTTGGATGTGCAAGGAGTGACTGCTCACGGGCACACTAAAGCTCTGGTTCGCGAATTGAACTGAATCCAACAAGGGAAACGAAGAAGGGGGTCTATCGTGTCTGAACCTGATTGCCATTGGACGGTTTGGTTTAATTACCAGATGTACGTCCAACACATGTAACATACTGCAGCGCTTCCGCAAAGAGAACTGAGACACATCGAAGCTGTTCTGGTGCTTCATTCAAATGTTTGCATCGTCGAAGTGGGACTTTCCCCCCGGAGAGTTTTTCGACCCCTCCCATCTGGGCCACCTTCCCTTTTAATCAACCTGGGGTTTACCTAATCCACAAATGGAGCCAGAGTGCAACTAGTTTCCACAGCATCGCACGCGAGCAGGAAAACTCCGCCCATTCACGTTTCGCGCGAGTGAAACAACTTGGGACCCAATGCAATTCTTATGAAGAAGGGGCTCACTGGATTTACAAAGTCCACTTCGCACCAGTTGGGATGAATGAAACCCTGTAAACGATCGGATAAACTGATAAACCACTTCTCAACTGGTGCACAATGGGTGGCTTCCTGCTGGTTCCGAGCGGAGCCGCATCGACGAACAGGGGTCCTCCATTTCTGGACGCACCGCCCTGAGTCTTGAAGTAGCCTTCTACTCCATAACATGACGGTGAGAAACTTCAATGGGAACCGTTCTAAATGAATTCTATTCAACAAACGGACACCTGGATCTCGGCGGGTGGGCTTGAAACAACTTCGCCAGAGAAACCGCAGACACCTTCCCTCGTTCCCTCGTTCCGCTCTCCGCACCTTAAGTAGTCGAAGGTTTGGAACGTCACCAGCCTGAGGCTCGGTGAAAAAAAAACATGACCAGGATTGAACAAATGGGACAAGAGGGGTGGACACAACAAACCTGTGGTCCCACCAACTAACATGGAACCTGACGTTTCGGGGGTCCTGGAAGACCATTTTCCTTTTAAAGGGATCCCCTGTCAGGTTCCACGTTAGTTGGTGTCCTGGTTCTTGGTAGAGCAAGTAACATGTCCACTAGCCACTGTTTATAACCGCCATCCACTAAGTGGCTTCAATGCTATCTCGGCTGCTTTCCTTTGTTCCTTGTGCCCTGAAAGCGGTGCATTTGCCTGGCCGCCACACAAAATTCAAGCTGACTGATTTTGAACATATATCCGACCAATATCAGGCGATGCAACTATGCAGCAACCAGACCGTCCTGTAGACCCAAAGTCGGTCGCAATCCCTTTGCTAGTGCCCAATCACTTGCCGACATCTAAAGCAGGTAAGTCAAAAACAGGCTGCTGGATCGGTGACTGATCCTCCGTGCAGAATGTGGTTTCTCTGAATATCGGTATGTCAAACAACAGGGGACAGGGGATCTGCTTTTCGGACAGCCAGGAAGTGAATCCCCGCTAAGGGGCAAGTCTGACTCGGAACCCACGAAACGGATGGTTTCTCTTGAGCCCCAACCCCGAAAAAGTGCTCCGAATCAACTCCCGAACAAAGGCTAGCCCCGTATTCGAGAACTGTCCGCCCCATCAAGCTGGGCTCCCCGTCAACTCCAAAAAAAAGGAACCACTATTTCTTCGACCCCCCCCCCAAAAAAAATAAATAAAATAAAACATAAAATCATAAAATAATGGGGAGTGTCAAAGCCCCAAAAAGGAGCACCTCGGCTCCCAACGCGCTAAAGAAACCGCGTTTTCGGGCAGACCGTCCACTCGACTCGAGCCTGGAGCTGAGCATGCCCTGCAGGATCTCCTCGCGCACCGGGAGGCAACTCATCACCTGGCCGAAGTTCGCGGACCGCCGGGCGCGAAGCGAAGCGAGGCGGTTGGAGTTGGTCTGTTCTTCTAATTCTAGTCTCTTTTTCTTTTTTTTTGGGGGGGGGTGGCATCCTGTGGTTGGCTTCCTGCGAGTTGTGCACGTGTTTTTTTGTGTTTTTTTTCCTTTTCGGAGAAGGGAATTTCAAGTGGAGGTGGGCGTTTGCTTTCTGAATGGTCTCAAAATGGGTCAGGCACTATGAATTGGGAATCAAGTTAAGTGCAACATAAAACAAACGCAACCAACGAAACCAATGAAACGCACGACGAACTAAATGCGCTTCGTGAAAACAATCCTGTGTTTTCATGCATTTGGTGTGGTTCATAGGCTTTGTGGTCTTCGTGTCATTTTGCGTGTTGCATGTTGCGCATGCAGCGGACTCAGGAGCGCGGGGACAAAGGGGCCGGAAAAGGGCGTTTCCGGAAGAACCTTGCAGGGACGACCTTCAAAAAATGGGCGTCGAGGGCTCCAGGCAGCTGATTCATAGGATCACTTCCAAAGCAGGTGGTTTTCGGATGTGGGAGTGCCTTTCTCCGCCCGGTCAAAATCCCTATTTTTGACTGCAGGTCTTCTCCGTTTTGGGGTTGAATAAATCCAAATCTTCATTTTGAGCACCTGCCCGTGTATCCTACCACTCCTGCCGCTTCCTGTCCGTCGATCCGACTCTTTCCGACGCGAGTCTCCGGTCTCGGCTTGCCTCGGTGCTGGGGAAGGCGCAGTGCATGAAGAGCCCCGTGGTGAACTCCGGGTTCCGATGGTACACGAAGCGGGGCACCATCACCTCAGCTTCGCTTCAAATCGCTTGGGGACTTTGATCGGTGCGAGAGAGGTCTTGGGCTCGGGGGTGCTGAGAAATGGAAGGACCCCCTTGCAAGGAAAACACGCATCCATCTGATTTGGTGTGCTTTGTTCGGGAATCCCAAACGGTTCAAATCCCGAAACGGTTCGTTCCCTCATTCCCTGCAGAGCACCGGCAAGGTGAAAGGGTGTCGCATGGTTTGTTTTTTGTCGCGCGGCAAAGCCTGCTGAGTCATGACTCATCATTTTCCTGAGTGGATGGCCACACAAAGCCAGGAATGTTTTGCTCGGCACCACACAAGGTCTCCCAACACAACGACATCCAGGAAGTCAGGAATTGAGATCAAGATCTAATCATCTAATCCCCTGCTCCTTTGGTTGAAGACGCAAGAGACAAAACTGGCCCTTTGCCGAAGTCCAACACCATGGGTCGCAGCCGTGCACTTATTTTTTTGGCTGCGACCGTCTCCATACACTTCAGCCCATGTAGCCTGAGCAAACCACCCCCAGTTTCAGGCTCCAACCACCCGATTGGAAGGCTAAAAGGTCAGTTTCTGAAACCAGAGGACATGTCTGCCTCCTTTGGCGGCTGGACAAAAACCATTTCCTCGTTTTGCTTGTAGGGCAGAGGGACTCGTGTCTGAAGTCACAGCCCAAGGAATGACAACAAAGTCCCACAAAGTGGCTTCGGCGACTCAGCACATTCTGACACTCGGCAGACCTGTTCAAGGGGTTCGGCTCAAAATGGGTTCCTTTCGGATGCGAAAAAGAAGCATGATTGGCTGTGCAAGCCGCAGGGTTCCCCTGAATCATCGCGAGCAAAGCAAAGAGACCACACCAGTCTCTATGCGAACCGCCTCCCCTCGCTCTGCATCCGCGTCACCAGCTCGTAGTCGTGGATCCACACCAGCGTATCCTCGTCCCCTGAGCTTCAACGACATTCAACACTTCCAACCATGGGGGGACCTATCGGGCTGTGGCACAAATGTTGAAAACACTCAGTAATTGAATAATGTCAAGACACATCACAACCATACGTGAGCATCACCAGGATGCGCTATACATGAGTCTCAATCTACCGGAAGTGGCTGTGGGTCAACACAAAATATACCCAAAATGGGTCACCCTGGTAAATGGTTCACACGGGCTAACACCTGGCTGGTTCAACTTTGACAAACATATCCAAGCATAGGTGGCCTTTTGGAAAAATAGATGGCCCTGGTAGATGGAATACACCCCATCTAAACCAGGGCCCTCTGTGTTGAAGCAAACCAACCAAAAAGGACACCTATGTATCCAAGTATTACCCTCCCACCAACGAAAGTGCACACTTGGCCCCTTTCCAAGAGGAAGGTCGTCTTACAGAATTCTCTGCACTTGGAGGGTCGGCGGCTTCCATTTGCATTTTCGCCCCCTGGAAAAAATAAACAAACATGTCCAGTAGTGATCGATTCCTTCTAAAACCAAGAGGGGAAAACCATAAAAAAAACAAAAACACATATCCTTAAACAAATGGATCCCAAATATCCTTACCTTAAACAAACACATCACCAAATGTCCTGTGCGGTTTAGGGCACCCCCAAACTGCGATCTCTGCCCTTGGGTTCCGGAAAAGCCCGAAGCTTCAAGGCGGCTGGCCCCATCCATTTCTTCCGCCCGATCTATGGCTATGGATTTTTATTTGGGGGACCCTTGAAGTGGACATCATTCAGGGGATTCATATCCACCAGCGTTTGAGGTGGTTCCCTATAAAGACCTTCAGGGCCATAAGAGGGAAATAGCTGGCGACCTAGTCTAGGGGCGTGCCTGGGATCCGCTGGAGGTGAAGTGCGATCTGCCACCGAACTGCCTGTGACTATCTCCTTGACGAACAATGTAACTACAATCATCAGCAAAAAAAAGACAAATGCACGAGCTCCACGAGAACCACGTACCGATGGAGCAAGTAAACGGTTGACACATCTGACTGAGGGTCCGACTCCGACATATTTGCCCGTGAGGACCCTTCCCTTTGCGACCGAAGAGAAAAAAAACAAAACCACAAGACCAAGTGGAGAGTCCATGGTGTGTGTCAAACTAATCCAACTGGGTGGTTCTCCTCTTAATTTGCAGTTGAACCAACCTCAACGAGTCGGTCACCTCGCATTTCACAAACAACAAAAAACACTATGGCACAGCTCTTTTCCTTTTTTTCCGCATTTCTCGACTGCAACCAACAAATCCCCGAGGATTCCTTCTACATTTCCTCGGTTGCTTTCTGCTCCCCGGCTAAAAGTTCAACTTTCAGTTCAATTCGGAAAGCCCCTTCGTTGGCAAAAAGAGTTGCTCAGCCCTCACCTCCGTGGGCAAAATGCGGGTGCAGTGTCCATTCGTCGGCTCGAGTGGAAGGAAGAAAGACTTCGCGGCCGGGGGGCCGTGGGTGGTGATCACCTCCGCGTAGGCGTTGTTCAGCGCCAGGAAGTTCTTCCAGAGCGCCTTGTCGAAGGACTCCATGCCCTCGGCTCTCCGAGTTGCTCTCCGAGCGATCGGATCCGCGGGATCGCCGGGGAGGAGCTGCCATCGGCGCGACTAGGCGGGGAGTGGGGAAAAATGAACCCCGCCGGAGAAGCCAGCGGTGTCAGAAAGAACTTGCAATGGTTCAGGCTTGGTTTGAGTTGGGTTCCGATTTTCGGATGGAGCTCCGATTTTCGGATCGGAGTCGGATCGACGTCAAGGCGGAGGGAGATCGGTCCACCGGGAATTTGGGAAAATGAACCCGGGCGGAATGGCCTCCGAAAAAAGGGAATGCTGCTGAGCACCAGCAAGATAAAGAACTGGGAGATAAACATATGAACAAGGGCGAAGCAAAGACTATTTGGACGGCCAAACGAGTGAGCGCTTGCAAATATAATTATGCGCAACAAATGAGATCCGACCTAAATTGTACCCCAGCAACGCTTCCTTCTGGGCACCATCGGTCGTTGGCTTTTTGGTCCTTTCTTAGTTCTCTCTTGTACCCTTTTTGGGGGTATGTGAGTGAACTGCGTGTCCCTGCTGGCCACTGTGCTTTCTGGCAGTGGCTGTGCTCAGCCCCCGCCTCAGTGCCACCCTTTCACCAACCTGAGACCTCGAATTCTAAGCAGTGGGTTGGCCTGAAGTGCAGACTTCTGTACCAAAACGAGGTTCCCACAGAGCTCGAAGTCCAAGAACTCCCAAGAGACTTCCTCAAAAAAGCCGTATGGACTCGACGAATGGATTCTCGGCAAGGCACAGCGTCACCTGTGATGGTGGAGTCGAAAATCTTCATGTTGTGGAAGACCGGCCAAAGGTAGTCTTCCTCGGGGCAAAAGCTCACACGTCAGATCCTGCTTCCTATCTCATGCCAACCTGAGAATCTATAACATGTCTTCCTCAGTGCTGGTCGCGGACATGAGCCACCGAACAACCAGTTCCTTTCTGTGAATTCCGTTGAGGCGCTGAGTCAAATCCGCCCGAGCATGCTTAACATTCCCCCGGCACCGATCAAAGCCCAGTGGCTGAAAAGACGTTGTGCTTGTGCACCAGCTCCTGCGATCCATGCATCGGGGGAGAGAGCCCTCTCGGCTTAGTGCACAAAAACATGCGCTATCGCCAGCAAACGGAGGGTTGACCTTTACCCAAAGGCTTGTGGCCTACTTTTTCCAAACCGTTTCAAGGGTACCAAGCCTCAGCAAGGGCGCACACCCGATGGCCCTAACTGCTGGTCTCCCCCCCCAAAACAAGACGCACCCAAATGTTTTGTTTTCTCCAACCCTCCCAAAGCAAAGAACGCCAACAAAAAACACCTCCTCAGGCTGACTGGGTCGCGGTCCAAACCAAAAAACAAGGTCCTCATCCATGTAAACCGGGATGCAGGAGTGGTTGGCCAAGAGCTCGGAGAGCTGCTTCCTGAACCAGCGAGCCGGTTGCGAGCGGCTTCTCGTCGAAAAACCAGCGCTGTTTGGCACGTGGCGTTGGGTGAGTTTTTGACAGCCACTCATGAAAAGCTTCTCAAGTCTTGTTTGGAGTAATTAATGTTTGGAGGTCCAACGCATGTTTAGATGTTTTGATGTACACAACCCATCTGTTTGGAGTGGTCCTCTGGAAGTTCTGGTTGCCCTCAATGACTTGGTGAGGAGGCCTTTTGACTTTGAAAGGCACAGTCGTTCAAAAGGTGTCGCACGTGCAGATCCAGGTTGGTGGAACAGCAACCACTGTTGACCCTTTTGAATGGCGTTCTGTGACACATACCCTCTCTTCTTCCGTTGAAAGCTGGGGGGGATCCTAATCTGTGGCAACCTGGGGCTTGAGGGTAAACTGGTTTCCTCAGTTGCCCAAAGGATCCAGAAATAAAAGGTTAACCTTTTGGGACCTTTACTAAAGATGGACCAAACATGGGAAACCAAAAGGTCAAAAGGTCGGCTTTGGGCAAGTGAGTTTCATATGTTGACCCTGGATCAACTTGGCGGAGTCATAGGGGACCTGTGTTCCCACACAAATGCAGTGAACAGACCCCTAGTAGTTAACCAACCATGGATTGGCTTCTCATTTGCTCCCAGAGTTTTCCTGTGGTCAGGTCACCCTTGCGGGCCATTTTGAAGAATGGGCCAACTGGCCCAAAAAAGGTAAAAAGCTCAGAGACCGTCGATTCGCTTTGGACAAGTGAGAAGACCTCTTTTCTTCTTGGGAACACCTCAAAGAAAGCTCCTGGTATGAAACCAGCTCCCAGCACCTACCAAAACGGCCCATAGGAGGATTGGGTGCTGCTCGGATGCGTGCGTCTCGAGCTATGGAACTCGTGATCTTGAGAGCGGAGGGTTTCCATGGAAAAGGCACGGGGCAGTCACCCATGTGATCTTTCGATCCGCGGCTTTCAACATCCCCAAGCCATGTGATTCTTTTCTCACATTATCTCACATTGACAGAACGTTATGACAACAGAGTGTTTGATTTTGGCCAAGGATCACTCCAAGGACTTGCTATCCCCAAGCAGAATCGTGCTTGGACTATTGACTATGGAAGGCTGAATTCCCAAGAAGAATCAAACATGCCACCAAACCACAAGCAATCAGCAAGCCGACTATGACTCGATCAAATTACGCGGACTCCCGCGAAACAGGTACTCCCGCTGAAGCCCTCGACTCCAAATGCTCGGCGGCTGTCGGTTCTGAAAATGAATCGACAAGTCCAACTTTAAGCACCATTTCCTCTACAAGGGACCCTTGGCTTAGAGGGAAATGCTGACTCTGGATGATCGAATCTTTATGAATCAGGAGGCGATTAATGCAATCGGCTGTCCCCTCCAAGTTCCGTAGCAACAGATTTGAACTTTTGGACCCCCTCAAAAGCTCTCCTCCTCCCTAAAACTGGCTCCTCTCGGCCGGATCCGTGACGCATACGCCTGGCGATCGGCTCTGACTCTCTGATGGCTTGAGGTCTTTGGGAACACCGCCTTTGGCTTCCAATCAGATTCCACCCCCTTCCCCATCCCTTCCCCACGGCTCTTGCTTCGTTTGGAGAAAACGGCTTGGAGGTGGCGGCGAATCTGTGGATCCATCCCTCTAGGAGACTAAAGAAGGACTAAAGGATTACATAGAAAAGACCAACGGGGCAAGAACATGTGAAATCCACAAAACGAGTGTCCAAACCGTTTTCTAGATAGTTCGTACTTCTTCAAACACTCCCTGACAAAGCCAAAAAAGGGGGACATCCCTCAAGTGGATGGTGCTGAAGCGACATGCAAATCTGCATGGGAGTAACCAAGAACAGGACAGTGAAGCAACAACAAACACACCTTTCAAAGCCAAGAGCTTGGTGTGAGGCAAGCAGGTGAAACACCTCGCATTCCACATCGGAGGAAGGAATGTTATTCTTGGCGGGATCGGGCTAGAAAATGGGTCCGGCCATGTTGCCGTCCTTTGATCAAGAGAAGGCAATCATCATTGGGTTGTCATGATCAAGCACGGATAGAACATATATCACAATCTCAGAATACAATATGTGGTGCTCCATGTCAAGCTAGCTTTCATACTGGATAAACGCACACTTGGACACAACTGAGCCCCACCAACACATCGGACTATGGTCTACATTTGAGCCATAGACTTTTTCTTTTAAGGTGGGCCCGCATTGGCCCTTCGTCACCCTGGAATCATTTTGCTTTGGTGGTGTGTTGTGAAGACAACTTGGAATCTTGGCCCAGCTGGTCTGGGAGATATGAGCTTCAGATTCTTCAGATCTCTACCCGACAGTCGCCTCAAAACCACCCCTCGCTTCGCAAGGCCCGACGCGGAAAGCGACGAAACGAAACGCCGAAACGCCTGGGTGGCCGATGAACTTCACTTGCACGTTGATGGCCTCCCCCGGAGCCAGCCCCGTCTGCCTCGAGCCGCTTCGAGAAAGTCCAAAGGGACTTTTCCACGTGACCCCGGGGACGCCTAGGGCGAGTCTCAGGTTTCAACAAGTGGGGGATCCTTTCCGCTGCCAAAAACACACAACCACATGGGGGCCGGGGGTTCATTAAAAGGTCCGATATACATGAGATGACCATCGGGGACAACCACACAAAATGATATTTCAGTCAAAACCGGGGGGCCCAAAATGGAATATGGATCAACCTCCAAATGGATGGTGCCTTGAACTTTGTGACCTGAGGGATCCTAAACTTTTGCGCCCGAGGGCGGATGGCACATGGCTCACTTGGACACCGACGACCCGGTTTTTCTTTGGGAGCAGCTGAAGAAAAGCATGATCATTTTGCGGTTGCAAGCGACCCCACAAAAGCCAAAGAAAAACTGGTGTTGGGAAGGCCGAACCTGAGGTTGTACGTTGCCCCTAACTCGAAAAGCTCGGGGCCCGTTTTGGGGTTGATTCCACTTTAACGCATGAACCCCTCTCACCGCACGGGGTTGGGGAACCTCGACACACAGTGGGTGTGTTTCTTGGATTCGGACTGCAAAATGATGGGTCTCCTTTTGGCCTTTTGGCTTTCATTTGAACCACTTGAAAGAAGGATGCCCTCAAGAGACACCCCCCCCCATTTTCTGGGGTCCATTACCCTTGTCCAGCTTCTCGCTGAGGTCGGTGGCGTGGGGGCCGCATGCAGCACTGGGGAGCCTCCACGGCACAACCTGAAATCCCGACGCGGCGCGTGAAGTGCTTCAGCAGCGGCAGCGCAGTGCCGGCGCCGTGGCTGATCTTGTCCACCTGGCCGTTTGTCTGGGATACAACGACAAATCACAAGAGCGCCCAAAACCCATCAGCTTCTGATTCTACTAGGATGGTTGTAGAGATTCTTTTCTGTTCGCCTTGCTGTAGTCCTTCTCAAACCAAGGTGATGCTTGACCCAGCCCAAGTCTATGTGAGGGTACCGGGCGGATCGGACGTAAGCTGCCAGCCTGGGAAAGGAACACGTGAGGCGCGAAAGCGCGGCGATGGCGTTTCGCTTTGGACTTCATTTCAGACGGCCATGCAAAAGTGGATGCCTGCAATTGCCAGACAGCCCCAAAAAGGGTTCAACTAGCAATGTCGTGGTTCTTGTTGAGGCTCTGTACCCTTTCTGGTTGGTTTTAAAGGGCAACCAAAGGGAAGCCAAAGCCAAAGTACACGTCTTTTACAGCGGGAATCCTCAAAATGGGTGGTTTCAGCTTGGTTTCACTTTGGCAGTGGACCCGCAAAAATGACACTCCAGCAGGAAACGTGCTTTAGTCTAATACCTCCATTTCAAAACTACAATTCGTGGCAACATGCTCCGAGCCGTGTTGGTTTGAGGGAGGGTATGACAAATACAAACACCGCAACAAACAAAACATACTATGGACTGAGATGCTGAGCAGGATTAAGCACAGCTTCCAAGAACAACCTTTGGTGCATCCCAACAAAACTTGATGCATCCGCCAAGAGCACCAAAACAGCCACGGCGACGGATCCATTTCATCTGGATTATTTGACCAACATACTCTGCCTGGTTGGTCGAATTGACAAGCTCACAGCAAACAACAAGCCCACGAAACATTGGTTCTCACGTTGACTTGCATGTTTGAGGCTCGGCTGACTGAGCACATTACTGGTAATAACCCCAAAGCGGAACTGAGGATCAAACCAGAGTTTGCCCAGGGAGCTGCATGAGTTTTCGCGCATTTCTTGGTCCCACCCCCCTACTCCCAGCTCTCCCACCTGCCACTCCCCGCTCTCCTTCCGAGTGACCACCACCTCAGCTGAGGCAATGAGGCTGCTTCTGTGAACCACCCCCCCTCCAACTTGGCCGAAGATCCCATGGTTTTCTCCAAGGCTTCAATACAACCGTCTTTCCTGTTTTTCTTGGGGGGGGGTGGGGGGCGGGGACCAGGTGAGCTGTGGTCAAGACTCGCAAGTTGCGGGCCATCAAGGGGGAATGCCACCAGTGGCCATGGGGACAAAAGGGCACCCTTTTCGTTGTTGGTTGAGTTTAAAGAAGAACTCTTTTGAACAAAAGTTGAATAAAAAGGGCACCACTGGGCAGCAAAGAATGTGACCGTATACTCTTGAACGCCAAAGTCCTCGCTGTGGAGAGGCTGAACCCCGGTACCCACCAAGCCCGGCAAAGAAAAAGCCAAGTGAATCGCACCAACAGGGCCTTGCATCAGTTGCGGTTACCGTGTCCTAGAACTGACTCCTTAGCTCCAACCCCCAACCATTGCCCCAAGGACCTAAACATAAAAAGGTGATCACCTGTTGGCACTACGCAAAGTGGGACCAACATTTGGAACACCCGAAAGGTTAAAAGGCGGATTCCAGCCTTTGTTGCCACTTCCATTTGGTCCTGCGCTGAGGACCCGGCGGGAAGGCTCCGGAAGACCAAGAAGGCCTTGTCTTCGCCTCGTGGGGGAAACGGACCCCGCCCGCCCCTTCCCCGCCCCTGCGTGAGTGGTGCTTTTTCTTCGCTTTTCCCTATTGAGGTCACCGAAGGATTAAACCGGAAATCTGATTCTTGACCTGAGAGAAAGCGAGCCAGCTGTTTTGCAGAGTATTTGGGGAAGTGAACAGAAACCTGAAAAGATACTTTTAGGCAGGGTGCAACATTTACGCTTACCTACCTTTTTTTTTGTATCAACCAGTATCAACACTCATTTGCATTTACCTTCCCCTTTCCTAAGTTTAGGGAGGTTGTTAGAAATTATTCGTTGGACCTTGAGGCTTGCACTTAAGCGTAACTTTCCAGCGAGCAATGGCGACTTAGGCAGATGGCCTGGCACCCGTGTGAAGCTTGCCGGAAAAGGAAGCAGTGCTGTCCTTCTAGAATTTGGAAGCAACCACAAGCAACCGCACATTGAGGGGGGGACCCATGTGCCAGTGACCTTCATCAAGGGGTCCCAAGGTTGGTGGCAACACCAATTTCTTTGGGCTGTCTGTGTGTGTGTGTGTGTTGCGGAGGCATCCCCAGTTCACAATCCACTCCACTGAAGCGGGTCGCCTTATTTTCAATCTGCAAATATTACACAATTCCAAAAGCTGAAGTTTCAGAATCGGATCCTCAAGGACCCTCATGGCTTTCGCTCGTACCCCCAGAGCTTGCTAGAAAAAATGGCAGATTCAATTGGAGCCATCCACCTACACCAAGCCACTGGTGACGTCACAGAGCTGCGTGAGGTCCTGGGATGAATGATCCGCACACATCTGGGGGCGGCCTTGCTCTTCCCAAATCCATAGACAAATGGCAGTGGTTCAAAAAAGTGTACCCAAAATGGCCCCTTAGTAAATGGAACCAAAGACTTAAACCTGCGTGACCCCAGCTCTTTTTCTTTTAATCCTGAGCCACACGCAAATTTGTGGATCACTTGCGGCCAAATTCTAGAATTCTTCCAAGATGAAAATTAGAGTTGGGTGCCCTAGTAATTAAAGGAGCTACATCATGGTGAGCCCGCTTTACCTTCAAATTGCCAGAGCTCGCCATGCAATGGACATTCGCAATGCGTGTAAGCACCATCGGCGACCTGGGTCGACCCTGCAAACCGTCGCGCATTTCGAACTCACCAAATGAAGGAAATCATGGACACATGGCACTTCCCAAACCTTGGTATCGGAGTGTCGCAACTTTGTCTTTTGCAGCCTCCCACTAACAATGAACAGAGCCGAACGGCTAAGCCAGCCATGCAACTAACAGAAAGAGAGTCTTAATTTTGGCGGAACCGCTCCCACAAAAACAGCAAAAACCTGGGGGCTCTCCCTCTGGTTTCCCCTGTAAATCCACCCAAGCACGGGTACCGCGCCTCAGACAAAACTCGGTTGCTTTCTGCTCCCCTGCTAAAGTTTCACTTTTTTAGTGGCTTAATGGAACCCCCATTAGTTGGCAAAAAGTTAAAGTCCTAACATCCAAGCAAAATGCACCAAACAAAAGAAGAGCCACGCCTCCCGTTGTCCGGGGACACTATCCATCGGAGGCGCCATGCTCTTGCTGCGGATGCCCATCCGCGGCGACGTGCGCGGGGAATGGGTGGGGCTCTGCGCCTGCCTCGGAGAAAAATACCGCCGAGAGACAAGAATCACCTCAAAGGGAGGTGTGCTTTTTTCCAACTAAAAATATCCCCCAAAAAAGAAACCCAAAAAACAACGAAGAACCAGGAACCAACACCCCTTAGGGAATTCAGGGGGTGTTTGAATGTTTTGGGGATGCCCCTTTTTGGAGGTAGGGAACCAAAAGGACACTGCCAGTGGGGTTGATTGCCCTTGGGGCCAAATGAGTACACAGGACTCTCTTGTGATCATGATTTATTGCCGAACTTGGTTTTAAGGTACCCCGCACATTGTAAGTATTAGAAGGCCCTTCTGCCAGCTGGGTGTTGGGAATTTTCACGAGGGACTGTCCGCTATGTCCTCCCCGCACCAAGAATAGACCGGCACTACCCACCTTGGTTGACGTTGGAAGGAGAGCAAAAATCTAAATTTTAGCAGTTAAGTGGGGATTTCCCACTAAACCACAATAAGCAAAATGTAAAATGTTTCCCAACAACAACCGACGCGAGGAGCAAATCGACGCGAGGCAAGTGCCTAAATGACCAGAGTGACTAGTGACTCCTTTCGCTCTGAATTGAAAAAAACATCAACCAGCATGGGTGTCGCAAAAAAGGAAACTATTTTGGGACACCTATGCGGGTTGATATGTTTTTCAGATGGATTTCCCTAGATTGAAACAACCAGGTCAAGGAATCGCCAGCTATTTGTCAATCACCAAAAAGGACGCCTGCTTTGAGCAAATGGAAACCACTTTCCGGAGAAACGTCCGTCGGAGGCTTTGCCCCTCCCAAAAACCTTGCGGCCGATTTCAATCTGACGAGGGGCCCTGAGATTTGCCGCGAGGGCGAGGGTGAGGGCGAAGGAGCGCGGACCTGTCTCCGATCCGCGGATTTGCGAGGCGATCCGATGTTGACGGAAGCAGAACCTCTCCCAGTGGATCAGAGGAATCATAGTCGCCGTGGTAGGTAAGCCTTCGCTATTTTCCTTCTGGTATTTAAAGGGTGGTTACCCATCGGGCTACTAGGGGGGTGTTCCCTCCAAAAGTCGTCTCAATCCCCACAAAAAAGGGGGGCACCAGGGGTTTATAAATCTGGGTCAACATTGCCGGGGTGCAATAATAGGGTTTGTGGTTTGTTGGACCCAAAATAAGGAGAGGTGTGTCTTTTCTGAGACCAATTTTTTGTGACTTCAAAGGGAACCTAAGCAGAGAACAACAACTTGTCGCGGTGTCCCCCAAAAGAAAGCACCCCAGAATATGCCTTTCCCTTTGGCTTGCTCAAAATGGGATCTAGACCCCAAAGATGGGCGGTTTCCTTTTTTTTGGGTGTCCCTTCAAATCATCTTAGGTACCAGTGCTTCCAGTTACCGCTGTAAAAGGTAACCACAAGCCATCACGTAACTTCTGATAAGAACCCCTGGTTGCCTACTGATTAGATTCAGCCCCAAACAGCAGTTGTACCGGGGTTTCCCATTCCCAAAGGTAACTTTATGCGAGCGGTTCCTCAACATGCCACATGGGGCCCAGCAGATTGACCCATTCTGGACTCCCTGAGGGGCAGGTACAAGGGGGGTAGTTGGGTAGTTGAGAGCCCCTTTCGAGTTCCTTCGGGTTTTAAAGGAGACCCCAAACCTGGTGGGCAAACCCCCACAGCGCGCGCGCGCCTGCGCGACCTCGTCATCTCCGGTGGCACGGCACCGCCCGCCGTCGTCCTCGAGCACCAAGCTGCGGCCTTGCAAAAACGGAGCCGTTGGAACTCGCCGGTGTCTTCGGAGAATTTGGTATGGATTTCAAGGAAATGCACGGATTTTGCAGACAGTCGCAAAAACAGTGCCCTTGGTTGGTCCAGGTATAGTCTACCCACATAACACACTATGCTCAGAGCGTTTTATTTTTTCTTGTCCACCCGCAACTTATTTAAAGTTTCAGCGGAGACACCAGTCAAGAGAAGTCAAGTGCAAAACCAGAATCTTCAAGACTTGAGGCACATCCATCTACCTTTTGAGTTCCGGCCCCGCTGGAAACCGCCCAAATCCCAAACGAGAGTATCTAACACCGCCAAACTCCACGCGCCCCCCGCCTGTGGCGACGGCGCAGTGCGCCTCCTCGTGCTCCACGGCGTAGCGCAGGAAGTCATCCCCGGCGAAGATGGCGTAACGATACCTGGGAGCAAAAGGTCCGGTGAACGTGGGATGACCATTGGGAAACCACGAAAAATATTCGATATTTCAACCAAAATATGGGAACAGCTACCCAACAGGTACCTCACACCCCCGAAACGTCGAGCCCCCGTGTGGGTGTGGGTCATGTTGTTGAAGGTTGGACCCCCCAACATGGAGGCTTTCCTAAAAAGACGGGTAACCTCAACAAAAACACACACACACACACATGGTTTACACGGGTCAAGACTCAAAGAGGCATGGTCTTCGATCTCTTGCGAGTCGATGTTATGGCGAGGGTGACCAAGTACGTAGGGGCGTTGAGCATTGTAGGGACCGTGTAACAGTCGGGAGTCAAACAAGCATGGAGAACATTTGCAGGTTCCGTCTGGTGGAAAATCTGATGTGCAAATACCACAAACGGACTTTACTGAAACTACTGCCCGAAAAAGAGTTCTTGTTTGGATGATTCAAACACAAAGCTAAAAGGACACCCTGGCCGGCCGGTCGGAAATGCCCGTCGTGTCTGGGCAACGACAAGGCAGGGTACCTAGTATCTGTGGTGACCCACGGGACTTGGGCGGGTGAAGTGCAAAACCATGGGTTGCTAACCTCGGTTGCTTTCTGCTCCCCTGCAGAGCAAATTTAGCTCTTAGAGGTTTAATTCGGAAGACCCAGTCGTTGGCAACAACTTGAAGTCCTAACATCCAAGCAAAATGCAGCAAAGTGACCAAGTACCCTGCCCTTTGAAGTGGGTGTGTACACCACAAAGCGCCTGGCCATTAAGTATGGCCAAAGGGAAACCGGCACAGGCCACTGAGGAAGCAACAGGTGGCTTGACGTTTGAACATTTATGGGGGAAGGGGGTATTCTCGGTGAAACTGGGAGCCTGGACTTGGGAAGCAGAGGTACTCAGCCAGGAAATTGAATAGCTCGGGGTCAACATCACAACATCGCACCCACACGAAGACTTAGACTTATATTGTTGGAAGGGAATGCGGGAACCGCTTTTGGGTTTCATGTGAATCTGCAAAGGGGAGCCAGACCCCGCCCATGGCTGTCAAACATCCACCAAAATAGCCCAAAGGTCAGTAAACAAACCCTAGTCAAACCATCACCCATGGCTTGATCTGGCCAATTTGTACAGCAAACTACAGGGGCCACCGATGTAGCTGGGTCTAGATTTGGCCTCATTACCGGCCGATAGTCAGCCCGCAGGTTTAAAGAGACACGAGCAACTCTGACTTTGACCCCCAGCAAACAAATGACGAAGCCCCGACTGAACCTCACCCAGTGGCTCGAACTTCTCCTTCAGCTGAATCCTAGGCGCACCAGATTGAGCCATGGTCTGTCTCACTAAATTCGGGGGACCCCACATGGTCAAAACTCGTCGTTTCTGGTGGCTCCAAGACTAGGAATGAATGTATCACTCACTTCCTGAGTCGATTGGCCAAACAAAGTTCAAACTTTGGGTGTACCAAATGTTCTTCCCCAAAGTATCAAGTCCAGAAACTCGGGAAGTAAGAGAATGCATTGTGTTCGGCTGTGTTCAACCAAATGCACCCCCGGCCTTGGTCAAGACTCCATGTGGTGGTGATGGCTCCCTTGGACTTCTTACAGTGGTACATACACATGATGAGAATTACAGGCTTGGCCCTAGTCACCGAACTGAAAGGGTCTCTTGAACATGGCACAAAAATGGGGTTGTCCTCTTATTCTTCTTTCAAGCTAGCCCAATACAGGCTTTTTTGCGTAGGATTGCGTCAAATGGACTTGCCAAGGTGGATACTTGCAAGTATCTCAGGTGGAACAAGGACCCCCCGGAAGTCTGCAGCAATTTACTTAGGCTTTGTGGTCTGATGTGGTTCATGTTGGTTCACTTACAACATTGAAATCCACCGTAGCATGGGGGGGTGGTCTGCTTTCAGGGAACCTTTTTTGGGCTTTCAAAGGAACACCTTTTCTTTGTTTCTTCTTTTTTCCGTTCCCGGAGGATTTTCAGACACACCCGCACTAAAATGTCAGATCCGGGTGTAGGTGGGGCTGCTTCCCAATGCTCAACCCACTGGGCCGCTGAGGGATTTCAAACGGTACTCGAAGTGCCTTTAAACTTGTTTTAAAAAGAAACGGGTCAATTGAAATAAGGCTGGACTATGATAGAATACTTCGACATGGTTACACGCTACGCACGTATAAACACGTCCAATTCATGAGTGTCCCCTCCGAAACGGTCAACATGAGCTTACTTTCCCTTAGCCCACTGCTTCCAGTTACCACTGTAGCAGGTACGCATACATGTGTTTGCTTGTACCTCCAGGTTTTACATGACTGGGTTGCTGTTGACCCCTCTGCGAAAAGTTTAGCTTTTTGTGGGTCCAATGGAAAACCCTAGGTTTCCCAACAAGTGAAAGTCAAAAGATCCAACCCAATGGCAATCAACATGAGAACTCCCATTGGTTGTCTACGGTATCTGCAAGCACTGGGCTCTGGCGCTTGCGCAATTACGGCTCAGGACTCCTCTCTAAGAAGCCCCCCGCCCCTGCCTGGCGATCGAATCCTGACGTCCCAGTTTGGGCTATTTGGCTTTGTCTCAGAAAATAACAACAAATGGAACAAACGAACAAACCACCCGAATGGATTCACTGACTTACTGGACGTTCCCCTCGTTTTTCTTGGAACACCCACCGAAAAGGGTAGGCTCAAAAGTCACATCAAGCCTTCAGGCCTGGCACCTTCGATGTTTGCTCGTTTCCAGATATAGGTAGCCAAAGGGAACCATGTCTGCAAAGTTTACATGCCCAACCACGAAATACGAATCGGATGCCCAAGTAAAGCACCTTCATCATGGTGAGCTCTTATTTTTTTAAATATATATTTTCTTAACCCCCAGGCGAGTTCGCCTTGTCCCCATTTGTCAACCCTAAGGTAAACAACAAAAATCACTGCTACCTGATGGAGTCGTACTTGGAAGCACTGGGATTAGCCCCAAAAGCGTATCGATGTCGAGGCTCCGAATGCCGTTCTCCGTCCACCAGCAATCCTCCACCCTGCGCGAGCGAGCCTTCTCAGCGAGAAAGCCGGAGCACGGGGAAGTCGAAAATGGGCAGTCGGAAAATGGGAATGTCGTGAGTGAATTGAACAAGTTGGACATGGGAATGCTGTTGGTTGATACAACTCGGAAAATGGTTGCTGGCCGAAAGGGAATCCAGAGGAACCCCAGAAGGGATTCTTACCCCTTAAAACTCCCTGCGGCCTGGGGAAGTTAATCTTTTACAGACATATAGCCCATGTTACCCCCAAAAAGTTGAGAAAAGCTTTGCGTTTTCAAGAGCTAAGGTGATTTCGAGGGCTTCGAGGCTAACGGGCTCACGGCAGCCCAGGTTCATCCACCGCTGGCTTATTGAAATCTGACGGGGGTGTCCCATTTAAGAAAGGATCCTTCACACGTGCGGGATCGACCCACAAGTCAGAAAGAAAGAAAGGATCCTTCACGTTCGGGGGAACACGCACCAAAAACCCAACAGGTTCATCTTATCTGGGGTCGACATGGCAGGAACCCTGAACCATGGGTCCTCGGACACCACAAAACGCAAAACTTGCAAATGCTCCCACCTGATTCTTGGCTTTGCTTTTCTGGACCATTTCGCGGACTCCGAGGACCCCTGAAAGGGATCGTTACCAGCGCCAAATGCGATCGGAAACTCTGACCCAAGCGCTGGCAAAATGAAAGGAAGCTATCACTTGGTCCTTGTTCAACATTTCCCCCCCTACAATTTCAGCCAAGGACAAAGATGTAAAGTGCTACGAACCGTTGACCCAGAAGTTCCGAAGTATTGCCCAGCATTTCTCCATATGAGAGCTTGCAACACGAGAATTTTGTTCCTGCGACTCAACAAAAGGAACGCCCAAACAAATCAGGTCTAATCGCTCTCAGGAGATTCGGTTCAAACTTGTGGTATCTTGGAGACTAGCAGTTGAAAGGCGCTGGTCAAGGGCAACTTTGCAGCCAATTTTCCCAACAGTAAATGCGGGCCATCCCTGGGTCCTGCGGTTGCTGCTGTTCACACGACATGCCCGGTGGGTAAACTTGAAGTGACTGGAAGCCTTTGCTCAGCAACAACTCCATCTGGAATATTCAGGCATAGTATTTTGATGTGGGGCTTGATGGACATGCTAGGGATTCAGGTAAAACCCACCACATTTGAAAAATTCAGGTGACCACCAATCAGAGGCAACCACCAACCACGTTTCAAGGATTCAGGTGTTTCCATATACAAAATATCTCAGTCGTTGAGTGACCCTGCCCAAAAAAGAAAAAACACTTTTTGGGGGGAAGGCCACTTTTTAGTGGGGCAGCCACTAAGAGAAAAAGGGGGAAAATTAAAAAAAACAAAAAACAAAAACTGGTGCCACTGAACGACCGAGTCCTCGCCAAAGGAAGCCCTTCTAGCTCTGGGGCCCAAGCTTCGAAGCGGCTGGGGCCCCGGGCTCTTGCACCGGGGACAAGGGGATGGCGCTCGAGGGGTCCCAGCCGCCCAGCTCATCGCCTGCCCCGGTCCGACTTTTAGGCGAAAAAAGGGTTTTTTTGGGGACCGAAGGGGTTTGGCGAAAAGGGCTTCTTCATAGTCTTGTGGTGTCCTTGCAACCATACCGAGTTATATATTTCCCCTACACATACCGAAGCCGGGGTTCATTTTCCACCCGAGCACGTGAAACAGGGCTCCCGAGTTATTTTGAACACATCACCTTGAAGGGATACTCACCTTTGGGCCAAGATTTGTGATGTTTAAAACCACTGAGAAGCGAAATATCGGGCCCTCTGCTAAAACATGGCCCTCTATGCAAAGTGGGGCCTAGACCCCCACCTTTTTCGGGTGAAGATTGCGGAATTAGAACAAACAGAATGAGGGCGGTTGTTGCTTTTTCCAGAGTCATGATAGGGGCAACTTGTTCAGTGATTCCTCAATTTGCCCTTGAGGCCAAAACCTCACAAAAAGGGCACCCCGCGGTGACCAACTGGGAGAACATTGGAAAGCGTTGGCCCATTCGTGGCAAAACTGGCACCACTCCGGCAATCAACTTGCAAACAGCTCAGGGTCTGCTCACCAAAAGTGGGTCTTTCTGAACCAATCTCAAGTCCAGAAACCGGCGTGAGGATGTACCGAAACACCCCATCACGGAACTGCGAACTGCACTCCTGGGAGACCATTTTCCTTCTCAAGGAAAAACAAAACCGCGGGTTCCATGTTCCGAGCATCGGCGGATTTCGTGCCAAATCGTACCGGGGCGCAGCTGCCGATCACCTTCACCTCCTCGTGCGCGCTCACCTGGCATGGGCCAAGGGCGAGTCAAAGCACGGGGACGAAGTGGCCGGGCCGCCCTGTTCGGGGTGTGTCTCACTGGCTGAGTGGATGGCCCCAAAAAAGTCCAAACTTTATGTTTACCACTAAAATGGTCCAACCCCAAAAAGTTTAAAGTGTATGAACTCAGGCAGTGAGGTGTGTGGTGTGAGCCACAGAGAAAAAAACAACTTGGGTGCGGCTCAAAATTAAACGGAAGGGGGGAAACCGCAGGTGTTGGGAACCATGTTTCCACTTACCGATCGGGCAACCCATTTTGGAATCCGGTTTTTTGAGCCACAGCCACTTACTACAGCATGAGACAAAGCATGGGGAGACAAAGGAATTTGGTCAAAGCGTGAGACAAAGGAATGGCCTTGCTAAAAGTTGAGCTGTTTGAGGGGCATGTGGTATGTGAGCCACGGAAAAACTGTTACTTTCAGTTGCTTCAATTGGGCAGGCCCCCGATTTGTGGAGAAAGCAAGGGGATATTGGATAGGCCCCCATATCCTCAACAGACTACCTTATGTCATGAATCTTGCGAAGTTTCAACAAGCCCTCACGCGAGAAGATTGGCAAAAGTCCAAACTTTGAGGTTGCCAAGTGAGTTATAGACGTTTCCACTTAAGTGAGGTGTTTGGGGCTCCATATGTAGGCACAAGGAGGTTGAATCAGAAGCCATGGTTTGCTGATGACCAGCCGCAGTTGCGTCCTGAGACGACTCGAAAACAAGTCTCACAGCGTCGGATCCTAAAATGACCAAACTCCAAACTCTACGCTCTACACACAAGACAGACCCACATGAGTGGGAGCTTTATTTGGGGATTGGACATCAAAACGGGGATTCATGTCCACCGAGTGCTTTTGAATGGGCTCCAACTCCTGAAATTCCTAGCCACATGGCTTTGGGGATTCCACATGCCACAGCCGATGCTGCGATTTTTTTAAATATTTTAAGAACCGCGTGCAACTGGAGGTGTCTCGACCCCCCCAAACTCCCCAAAACCCCAGCCTGTCAACTCCCCAACCCCCCAACCTCTCAACCCCTCCCAACCTCTCAACTCCTCCCAACCCCCACCCTCATCCCCCCTCAACTCCCCAACCTCCTTCCCACCAACCAAACACACCTCGCGTCTGAGGCCGGGGCCCCAGTGCCGTGCCACCGGAAGAAGACGCGGGTATGCCGCGCGCCCGTCATGGCGAGCTTCGGCGAGACCCCGCCCAGGCGAGCTTCGAGAGGACTTGTTCAAACCGATGGGGAGAGGCGAAGCACCGCTTGGGCCCCAAAGAGGTGTTGTCCAACTTGGCACATCTCCGTTTTTCTTTTTTTTTTCCGGCTGGTCGGGAAATGAGTCGGCTGGGATTTTGGGTGGAACAAACACGAATCACGTCGCTGGGTCTGGACTCGACGCTTTAAAGGATGTGCGCCTTGAGCCCGAGACGATCGCGGTGCGGCGGAGACACCCGTCCGACATGGCCATGGGTCAACAGCCCGTACCTTCCAGTGAACATCCCAGTCCCCATAGGTTCCAACATACCTTTACCCCTTAAAACTCCAAGCCCTGGGGAAGTTTTCATCTTTTACAGACATATAGCCCATGGTACCCCCAAAAAGTTTAAAAGTTGTGTTTTTAAGAGGTAAGAATAGGTTCCACCATACCGACACATCGAGCGTGCTGAGCCCCGGTGCCGATCTGCCGAGGAGAGCCGCAGGAGCCTTTCTCGGAAGCGATCGGAAGCGGACGGCCCAAGGGACGATCCGGGAACCTCACCCACCAAAAGTGATCCCAAAAACCCAGAAAGAAACCAGGCCTTCTATCAACCAGGGGTCGAATGTTCTTTTTCGCCCCCAAGCATCGGAAAGGAGGGTCAGCACTGGCAGGACCTTCAGAGCAACACCACGAGATAATCACCCGTGCAAACCTCAGCCCCATTAAAGGCTATTTTAAGGGGACAACAAACAGCCAACACCGGGGCTGAAAAAGGGACAGTCACCTGTTGTAGGCCCAGCAGCGCATCCTCATCGGCAGGCTCACCTCGCATGGCCTGTCAGCAGTTCGGTTGCCCAACATGGCCTTCCCACGGAGAAAAGGACGGAGACGACCCAGAAGCCTCCTAACCAAAAAGGGGAGAGAAGGGCACTACTGGGGGACCTAGTTGGGGAGAAAAACAACGGAGTCCACCCAAAATCATGGAAAATCACAGCATTGACGTCCCGAAACATCGGGAAAAGAAGGACGGAGTCTACCCAGAACCATGGTACGCGCATTGCAGGTGTTTTCTGAAGTGGACACTGGCAAGGGACATGGCAAGGGACATGGTTCAGCACAAGGCAGGTTTTTCCCGCGGCGCGCCTGCAACCAAACGAGTCATACTCAAAACCACAAGTACCCGGTCACCAAATGAATAGTGGCATTCCCTCGCATGGCAAACACTCAGCGTACATGTTGCTAATTATCCGTGCATGCACAGGTGCAGTGACCAATGCGCATGAATCGAAACAAGAGCAGCACTTCACAATCCTTCCCAGTCGAACCTTGCACTTCAGGTGGTGAATGTCCCCTTCCAAAATTCTATATACTAGTGTCCGAGGTTGAAGTTCAACCGGTTTTCCAAACCGCTCCCACTGTACTGAGGGCCCTCAAGCGGCCAGATTCTGAGGAATCTCGCCGGGTGTCCAATTCAGAGGGCCTGGGTCTGTCAAAAAGAGCCCCAGGGTGGGCTGGAGCACAGGGACACCGGCAGCTGATTGTATTCCAACAGTTCGGATGGTTTTCCCCCTTTCCCTGGCAAGACCCAACCAACTTTGAAAAATGGCTGTGGTTGTCAAAACGAATGGGATCCCATTTTGAGGTAGGTGCACCACCCATTTTAGAACCTATTTTAGTGGGGATTGGGATGTTCGCTGGGGGTACTGGGTGGGGCCAACCAACTTTCAAAATATGCTTAAAACAGTACTTCTACTAGGTCCTCCAGTAGAGAGGTTCGAATAAGGGCCTTCCTTTTGCCTGTAGTCTATTTGAGTAGGGGAACCCTCCCCCAAAAAAAGTTGGTAAAAGGGCACTACTGGGGGACCTAGTCTAGAAGTAACTTGACGCTTTCTAAGGGACCTTGCTTCCTAGAAAAGCCAACAAATCCATGGAAACCGGCTGGTGGTTCTGAAACACATGCGGACTCAACCTCCAGAGTGTTACTTAAGCATCCCAATGTAGTTCCTTTTCAAAGATCCGTGGCATTGATGTTTAAACCAAGTCCGGCAACCCTCTCATTGGGTAACTTACCCAAACAAATTCTTCAGACACACTCCCTCACAGGGAACCTCCAAAACCGATCCGTCTTTCAACAAATCGTCTTGTTTTACAGGGGTAGAAGGAAGGACCCGCTCCAAAACCGGCAGCTTGCAAAGTGATGTTGACCCCATATCCATCAATCCCCAGGAAAATCAATGGGGTATCCATTTCTGGGAGTGGGCAACCTCCACAGCCAGATTTCCCTTCTCCCATCCAAAGGAAACTCGCTTTTGGGGCCCACCCCACCCCCTACTGTTTTTCTAAGGGTTGATTAATACTGTGTCACCTGCAACAAGGCGCTCTTGTTTTTCTGAAATCCTCAGCCAGGACCTGCAGTCTCATTGTGCTCCCGGGGGTTGAAATTCCTAGGGGCTCCCCCGCGAAAAAGAAACGAAGCGAAAAGCTTGTCATCCGAGTCTACAAGTGCTGTCTGAAAAAACTGGTGACCTCTTAGGAGTGTCCTACAGGATTTGTCCTCCCCCCCAACAATCATAACACAAAAATCAACCGACCTTTTGTGCGTCTACAAACTCGACCCCCTGGATTTTGATGAACCCCTGAATGCCGGTTGACTTTTGGTATTCTTCTATTTTTCTTTGGGGGAGGAGGACAACTCTGGGGCGTCTACAAACTGGGCGACCCCACCCCCCACCCCCCCAAAAAACCCAACCCCTCAGAAAACCCCACCCCACCGCCACTCGAGAACACCCAATTCGATGACTCCAGAAAACCCAACCCCCCCCCCCCCCACCGCCACTCGCCGACTCGACTCGCTCCGACTCGCCTGGCTGAGCTGCACCGCCACAGCCGAGGGCGGCGCCTGAGGCCGGGCGGGCCATGGCGGTGCCGAAGGGTCGGTGGGTTTTTGGGGGTCGGGCTCCCCTTTGAGGCTTCTTGTTGGGTACACACAAGGGAGGGCGTCAAAATTGTGGGGGTTGAGCAATATTCCAGTTTTAGGGCATCCAAATGACCATGGGTTGCCTTTCCCATGTGCGACATCTCATCTTTTCTAAACCCCCGATGTGGGAGGTTGACTGTTGCACTGTCGGGTAGCCGCAAAGCTTGTTTACTAACTCTGAGTAGCAACCATGAGGGAGAGCCTTTTGGAACCTTGATTGAGAACTGACCAAGCAAACCACGAAAAATCTAAAGGTCGGTTTGGGGCAAGTGAGTCGTAACCGCCCGCAGCAAGACGACCACTTGGCTGTCCGCAGATCCCCTGCTAAAAGTGCTTAGCTAGCGGGTGAAACTCGGAAACCCAACCACTAATCCACAACCGGCGGCTCAAATGCCCAGTGGCCATGGGAAAAGGTCACCCTTTTGGTTTTTGGTTGAGTTTAAAGGAATCGGAACCCTCCCCCAAAAAAAGTCGAAAAAAAAGGGCCCGAGACCATGGGCCATGAAGCTTCGGCCCGCGCCTGGCTCTCGATGCTTTTCCGCTCGGGCGGGTCTGCGCGAGGCTTTTCTGGGCGCCTTCGGTCGGAAGGCGGGCTGAAACCGCTTCTCTGGGCGCAAAAGCGTCCCTTGCCTACCGAGTAGTAAACTCAGCCGATTTAGGCAGTTTACGATATTTGCCAGCTGCCCACCATGATAGCATAATGTTTGCCGGGCGGCAAGACAGGGCTCTGGAAACATCAAGGGAAGCGGGCTCTCTGTAGGCAAAGACAACAGGCTTGCCAACAAAGAACCAAAAAGGAGTGCAATCAGCTTTTTTGGTCGAAAGAGCCGGTAACCAAACACGAGACAGCTATGCTCTAACATGTATTAACATGTTGACTATTTCTCAGTTTCCCATAAGACGTTTCCATGCTTTCAAAAGAACAATGTATGAACAACCACGATTTTGAGGAGAACGCGGTTTGGGTTGGAACACCAAAAGGGAAAACCCACCGTCGAGACATAACCATGTGAACCATATTTGTATCTGTGAACCAGACAATGAGACCTGTTCAAAAAGGTAGCAGACGCACTTGAGCGTAAGAGGATGCGCAGGCCCCCCTGTGCCGGGAATGGGGCTGCCGCCTCAATCTTTTCAGGGATCCTTCTTTCCAGAAAACCACCGAAACAAATCAGGGAAACCCCTCTACATCCCTGTCTGTTTGCCCAAAGCTAAGATCAAGTATTCATTGGAAACTCTTCGGTGTACATTGGCATGCGCCTAGTCATCCGATCAACACTTATCTGTTGAGCTCTTTTCAGGCCCCTTTCCAAATGAAGAAACATCACCAGCAACACAAACAACCGGGAAAAAACATCCTGTGGGAAAGTGCATGCGTGAGAATTGCTTTGGGAGGGACGGCTTCAACCTCGGGTCCGCTCTGCCTTTGGCGCCTCCGAATCCCCGCGCCTGAGAACGAGCCCTTTCATCCTGGGCCGCAGCACATCGCCGGACAGGCGAGAACCATGCATATATATATATAATATGACATGGGCATGATTTTTAATCAGGGGCCCTTTGGTGAACATAATTTTGGTGGGGATTCATGTCCACCAATCAATTTTGAGCTGGTTCCCTATTAAACATCATGGCCATAGTACATTTCACTGGGAAAAGGACACCTGTCATTGTGGGGGGCTTTCCTATCTTGAACCCGAACCACACCCATATTAGTACTTGGTGGTTCCCAGCCATCCCCTTAGCTTTTCAGGTTAGGGTTTAGAGGTTGGGTTTCCATTTAATCCACTGGAAGTTAAACTTTTGGCAGTGGATCTGAGCACACCTCTGTCCGACGTGTTCAGAGCGGGTCTTGTAGCCATTGTTCGCCACTCGCTTTAAGCGTCAGAGGCAATCCATTCTTTCGAATAGACCCAGGGAGTCTTGGACTTCCATGTCTCTTCCGTTTTGAGAGGTAGCTCTATCAGCGCAGACCTGAGTTCCTCGTAGATGTGCTCGAGCAACACTCTCTTGTTCTCAGGAAGGTCCTCGTTGCCGGGAATTTCGTCCGGAGCTCTGACTCTCACCTCAATGATCTGGTTATCACCTTG